TAAACAACTCCTGCAATTAAATGTGCAAAGATTGAGTGTAACAAGTCGTTCGGTGTGATATAGCAAGCTGCTGCCGCGCCGCGTGCCTGCGAAGCTGGTGTGTTACGCCGAAGGGCGGTTATACCGGCTATACCGATACAGATATACTGTATATTGTTTAGTCTCTAGGGCTATTTTCTTTGTAATAGTCTTTGGTTTAGTTTCTTTGGATAATTTATTGACTCCACTAGCTTTCATGCTAGTTCAGTAGCACTGGTTGTTTTATACAGAAATGAAAATATGAAATATTAAAACAGAATGATAACAGAAGTCCTTTCTACCACAATGCCAATAGCATGCAATATTTTCTGAACATATCATGATTAATATTCACCAATTCATCGATAGAAAATAATAATACAAAGCTATAATTTCAGAAGGAGAAAGGCATATACAAAGCATCAATGAAAAAAAAAACTTGCTCACTTTTGCCGCGTAGATGCTATTAATAGATATAGATACACATTATAAAACGTATTTCTAACAATCAAGTAGTTGTTGAGCCTGTAATATATATTAAATAGAATAATTTAATCGTTGTCAACCAAACCTCGAGCGCTGTGCAAGGGAGACATACTGTTTTTAAAGAAAATAAATGACTCATTTAGGGCCTTGTTTCTGCACTGTTTCAAATGCCCAAAATATGAAATACTGATGCAAATGTGCTAATATGAAGCAGTATGTGCCAATATAACACAGATTTCGTTATTCAGAATATTTCCGGTTTTGCCACCAACAAATTACATTCGTTAGCCTTAAACCATCTAATCGAATTTTTCTTGTCTTTTTCTACCTCTCCATCGTCAGACGGGGCTCTATATTGTCTGCCCCATCCCGGGGGGTCTGGGGTTATATGAGAGTTAATTGGTTTCACAGAAGTTCAGATGGACGTAATTTATCATGTCAGGATATCAGACAGACAATGATAGATGTGATTTCATGACGAAAATTTGCATATTTGACCAATTTTACATGTCATATACGTTGGAATAGAGTCTATTCCAACGCATATGACATGTATAATTGGTCAAATATGCAAATTGGGTTGGGTCTCTTCAATACACCCAACCAATAAGCCCACCCTTTTCCATCAAAACGTCGAAATGGCAATATTTGAGGACATGTAGTCATTTCTTATTGGTTGAACCGATAATTGCCCTCCCCTCATTGGTTGAGCTGCTAATGTGATAGACAGTCAGGATCAGTCTATTGATTGCATGCGTTTTGTGTGTGCCTAAGATTTAATGAAGATATATTTCTATTGAAATGGCATTTCTTTATAGGCGTCTTCATTGGTGCGTCTGTATCTAGGGTTGTAGGTTGTATTTTAGATCAATAGAAATGTTTCAATGGTCCTACAGCACTAATAGTACTTCGTAGTTCCAAGAAAAGTCGCAAGGTGGCGCACTTATTTAAAACCAAAGAAAAGCATCTGCTTCAAGCATTTAAAATTCGGCACTGTGAGTATGAAAACAAAGGGGTAAAATTGGTGAATTCCAACGACAACTCTGCAAAAATATAAATTCTTCTATTTTAAAAATTTGTCGTTTCGACCTATAGAAACTTTTTATGAAAACCGTCTCTTTCATACGAGACCACTGAAAATTGAAGAACAACTAAATTTCCATGCAAAAATAAACGGCATCGCTTACCAGTAATCGTAGGCTCAATGTAAGACTGATGACCATTAGCTGTTGCAGCGAATTGGAAACCGGTTCTACAAGAAACCGGCTGACCCTAAGCTTAAAGTATGTCAAATTATCAAATGCTTCATAATATGGGGCAAACGTCAAACCATAATAGTGAGGCATCTTCCTGCATCTAAAATGCATGCTTAGTATGTACATGTTTAACTTCTATTTGCACTTACATGCAAAGGTATACCAACAATACGTGTTGAACTAAACAGTTGCTTGATATAATCAAAACAATACGGTTTGATTGGTAGAAAGTAGATCTCCACCGACCAGTAGGGTAGGTTTGGGACATATGGCCTATTGGGGGCGTGGCCTCAGACAACTTACATAAAGGCTACTTGGTTAAGACGAGTTTTATCAATAGACAACGCTGAAGACTTGAGGTAACTTTCACTTGAGTAAAAGTTCTGATATAGGTGCATGAAATTGTAGCAATACGTCGTTGTCTGGGAGTCTATGAGAAGATATTTTGGGCCCTGATACTAAAGAGGTATTTCTAGGTATGTTTTCTTGTACTTTAACCCTTTATTTTGTAGCATGCTAACATGTGCTGTTGCCACTTTCAGAACTAAACAAATAGTAATATACAAAATCAAAGATGCTATAGAGCGACTTACACTGTAATTTTAGTTCACTTCGTTTAGTCTCTTTTATTAAAAAGTTCGAGAAACTGCGTGGTTTGATACCAGAAAGGATGACCTCGTTAAAATTATTGCAAGTATTTTTCCATGCTTTAAACTTAGAGAGTTGTACATGTTTCAAGTATGGCTTATCACATGTGTCGCTTGGAAGCTAGACTGTTACAGTTAAACACAATATATAGTTTGTTGGACTACATAAATTGATTTATACATGGTTTAATTGGTACTAGAAATAATGGCCTGGTTTAGACAACTACTTCAAGACATTAAGGCAAGAACTATAATTATGTATCGTTACTTACCACTACAATATGTTATGTAGTTTTAACTTAGAGATAGTTGGACCTCTGCATCTGTGTAGCCAGTATAACCGTCCTTGGTATAACCAGCTTGTACAGTCTAGCTTTATTAAGAAAGTGCCATATGTCGGGAAGTATGTTGTGCGACTGATGATTTTCATTGTTTACAGTCTTCCTTAGTCGTTCATCTATTTCTAAGCACATCTTTGTGTGTACTGGATGAGTATATATTGAATCATAGTTCTCACTAGGCTATTTGAGCATAAGGACCCCCTATGCTGTGACTTGGACCCCTTTGCTGTCTTTCAACCAGCATAGGGGTGTTTTTTTGGGAAAACCTTCATAAATCTTGCAAAAAAATGAACATATATCTTTAGAATGAAGCTGTAGCAAAGTGAAAACCTTAACTTCACACAATCTGCCCTCAATAAGCGAGAAAAGGGGCTTAAGATTCAGAAACTTTTGTAGCATTTCAATGCTACATTTCTTTGCTTGAACCTTAAGAATAATGCCTAAAATTGGATTTTTGCATAGATTGAGATACGGATGTCTGTAATTGGAAATGACGCCAGGAAGTGGGCTTTAGAACTAGAAACTTTTTAAAGCATTTCAACGCTGCATTTTATTTGGTTACACCTCAATTAAGAAATACATGTATACCCAAAATTGCATGTTTACAATATGGCTTGGGAAACGGGTGTCTGTAATAATAAGGATATTGGAGTGTTGGTGTTGACAAGGAATTGGGTCAGTCATCTGAGGATAATTGGTGTAGGTCTCTCACTTGTCTGAGAGGTCAGAGGTTACACTCTGTTACAGACAAGTGGATCTTGTTACCTATAATTTATACCTCTTATACAGACAGTAATATAATGGTCACGGGAACCAAAGAGGGAGGCAAAAGAAACTACATTAACAGAAAGTTTGGCATTGTGGCTTTGAAAATATGTCCTAATATGAATATCTGTTCCAGTATGCCGTTCACCACAGATAAATATGTGGAAAATCATCTTTAATAAATGATTAACTAAAAAAACTCACAGTCGTAGAATTTTCAGAACATTTTGTAAAACCTCTGTCAGAAAAAAGGTGGCCCAAAACCCAGAGACAATTTTACGGGTCAGTACGTATACGTACATGCAATACAGAGTAACATAATGTGTAACGGTTATATTGCTAAAAGAACGTAACATGCATGCCCGTAGCCAGGGGAACCCCCCCCCCCCACAAGGCTCAAAGGTCCACTTTTTGGTCCACTTTTTATGTTAAGGTCCACTTTTTGGTCCACTTTTTATGTAAAGGTCCAAGATTTTTCTTGAAAAGATGGACTAGAGTCGTAGAAAAACTGCTCCCTTTGTCATTGAGCAAAAATTTATTTCTGATTTTTTCTTGGAAATCCTCTCAAAAATGCACGAAATGCCATTTTAGAAGGTTCATTTTTCACAATTTTCCAGGGGAGCATGCCCCCGGACCCCCCTAGGAACCTCGATCGTGCCTACGGCGCTCGAGGTCCCCTGAAGCAGTGGGAAGAACCCCCCCATTCAAAACCCTGGCTACGGGCATGACATACGTTGAGGGGTAGATCACTTCCAGTTTACTTCTACTATTGGCTCAAAACACGAGTAGTGAGTCGCATTGCACAACCAGGCATAGAAAAGGCCCCAAACTTTGCCTCATGGAGGACAGTCACTCCTTTTATATCATACAAAGAAACACTGGTATGTCAGGAACAATAGCAATGTATGCCCAAGAAAACATGTACACATTGTGATGATTCGCTTAGAAAAGGGCTTAACTAGATTCCCTGGAACCTTTTAAGGTAATACAGATATTCAGTCGTGACTTGGACTATTGTCTATTGTAGTCTGACCTGCTTTTGTGACAAGGCAAGAGAGCATGTCAGTTTGGCGCCAAGAGAGATAGGAGAGTGAATTGTCCTGATGAATAAGTAAAGAGAAAGTATTAGTATACTACACGTAGTATTGCCGCAAGGATCTGTAGGTCAGGTCATGATAATACAAATACATATCGTAGTAAGTTACAGATTTGAGATGGCAAAACCTATATTGTGTTTGTTGGCGTCCATTGGCGCCGCCATGTTGGATTTGACGTCATGTGTTCGCCATATTGTTTCCGGCTAAATTCCGACGTCATTTCTGGTGGGTGACATACTACCCACCATGTAATTATGGCATCATAGGTAAAAAACCTTACAGGACTTACAAGCTTTAAGGCGAATTTGTCTGGTTTACAAACTCTTTTGCATTTCTGTTAGCTTTCATGTGTATTTTGTGAAAGACAAAAAATAATTTTTCAACCAATAGGTGAACAACAACAGACGTTGAAGGATGGCGCTGGAACTGACCACCAAGTCGCGACCAATACAAGATGGCCGACCAAACGGAGGAACCTGGGAGAGTAGAGAGCGCGAAGGAAAGACGTCGTCCTCCTCCCCAGAGACGGTTTCCACATCCAACACCGCGTCCTCCAACATGGCGGCCTCCCTGAAGAGTGCTCTCGCGAGACCAGTGCTGTCCACGAGCAACCAAACCCCACTGAGAGGGTACCCCATGAACACACAACCACGACTGTACGGCATCCACAAGTCTTTGGCTTCTATGGGTCTCTTCAATGGGATGAAGGGGGAAGCCACCAAACCACATGACGTCATGCGACCCGCCAAGGACATCATCATGGCGCCCATCCCTGTTCCCCTCCCGGCACACATCCCGCTGGAGACCCGGATGTTGATGGAGGCCCGGATGAGAAGGGACCTGGGGCTGACGTCACCGATTCCCATGAACCCCCGCGGCCCAGCACCAAGCATATCCCTCCAGTTTTCACAGGTGTGCATCAAAATTTATAACAGCGAAAATCTGAAAGTCCTTGAGTTGACCAGTACCAGTCACCAGTTTCCCATCCCCAGAATGCAATGAGGGTTACCCCCTTATTTTTGCATTGCATTCTGGGGATGGGAAACTGGTGAATTGACTGTATACTGCTCTGAAGCTACCAGCTGTAACTTTTTAAAGTTATGTACATACTTCACATACTTAATATTATTTTACTTTGACATTTACAGGAAGAGGTCGATGCAGTCCTGTATGGGTATGTCCGAAACCAGATCAACGAAGTACTTCCGGGTCATGCCATCTCTGGCATCCGGCTAGCCGAAGACGCGGCAGAGCACAAAGGTAAAATTTGCATTGTCGAGTCTTAAACTGAATCTAGGCCTTAAGTTTACAATTTGTCTTTCCCAATTTCTAAATAGAAGAAAAGGAAGTCATAAGCTTTCACTGCATTACAGTAGTCTGTATAGCATTACATTCATTTCGTAACAGTAAAATTCTAACCCCACAACATGCAACTTTGTTTACAATATAATAAACGTATTTTCAGAAACAGCAGTAGGAGGGATCCATAGAGGAAAAGACAAGAACGCTGTCAACCGAGCTATGCTAGATTTGCCCGAAGGTAAATATTTTCAAAAGCAAGAAACTAATACATAGTACACCATACATATAACGTTACGTTAAAACATACATACCTGCAGCCACTGTGGCAGAGTATGCCGGTCACGAATCGGACTTGTCAGCCACCAGCGGGCGTGCAGCAGGAGAGGGAAGGGCCCATGATATCTTAGAAAACGAAGCCAAGCCAAGAAGAAGAAAACATACATATATAAACACAGAGTGAACAAAAGCAATTAATTGCAACTCAACAGTAACAACTCAATAATGTGTCATTTTGGTTATCATTGTAAATTGGAGTGAATAGACCACTGATGTTCAGAGTGTTTTAGTTTGTCTGCAATCAAAGTTGAAAGTAGATTGTATTACTTCCTCAGGCTAAATCTGGCCCAACATCTATCACATCGCAGTCGTCCATTATAGTAGGGCAGCTAGAGCTGCATAGTGAACTTTTCAACGATTCCTGTCGTTACACTGTTTGTATCGTTTTTTTCCTCAGGCCTGGGATTTTTCCAGACCCGTTTCTCGTCGACCAAACATTTCGGCGTGTACTGCAAGCAGGTGGCGCTGCCAAAGGGGACTCGCTTCGGCCCTTTCGTGGGGAAAGTCGTCAACATCAGTGAAATCAAGACCGACGATGACAACAGTCATATGTGGGAGGTGATTATCAGTGTTATTTTTATGTTTACCGAAGGAAAACATATTGTTTTTACTCAGTTTCTTCCTCTTCTGTTCCAAACACTAACCTCTGACCTGGCCAATGACATGATTTGTTGACGTCTGTCTCCATGGTGACTGGTGTTGTGTTACATAATGTTGTAATTTCCTGCTCTACCCGTGTGTATGTGGATGTGTTTGAGTAAAAATTAAATGGACTGACCATGTCCGAAGGTAAACTTTGTGCATTTGCTTTGCAAATGTTACTTCTCTAGTCTTTGATTTTTTTACGCAAGGGAACAGTATCTCTGTAACCATTTAGATATGCAAATATTTTGAGTTGGGGAATGCATAAATTACAGCAACATTTGTGCTGTGCAATGTGAATCAGTAAGATTTGCCATGAAAAACCTGACAGACGGTCACCGAAATCTTGGTTGTGTAAAATAGATACTAGTATCTTTACACAATGACTCAACAACCTATTGAAATATTCACGTAAAACTTTCATATGCAGGTTTATAATAATTGTGCAGGTTAACTCTTCTAAGTGCAGTGCAAGTAAAATTTATCATCAAAGTGCACTTTTTCCCAGTGCTACCAGTGCAGGTATGTGCACAATAATTGTTGATGACTTACCACTAACCAGATTGACGCCACATTCAACACAGTGTATGATTATAGGGAAGTTGTCTTTGAAGTTCTAATTAGAACACATCCGCCATCTTGATTTCAGATCTTCCAAGATGGCAAACTGAGTCACATGATTGACGGGCGGGGGCCGACGGGAAATTGGATGGCGTACGTCAACTGTGCCCGGTACGCGCAGGAGCAAAACCTCATCGCCATCCAGTGCGAGGGACAGATTTACTACGAAGCCTGCAAGGAAATTCCACAGGTACGACGACTCAGTTTCAGTTCTTTTTACGCTTAGAGGCGCCCTAGCAGGAACAGTCTGCACTGCAGTGTGCTGAAGGTTCATCGAGACTTAACGCCAGTTCAAAAACAACTAGAAATATGACATTTGCAAAGCAAATGTATGTTTACCTTCGCATATGGTCTGCTCTGTTAATTCTTACTCACATGAATTCATACATATGGTGACAGGAGTCTAAATCCTGCCTGCTATAAAATTGCAACATGATGTAACCCAACACTAGTTACCATGGTGACAGACGTCTGGTTCAGGTCATTGACCTAATTGGTTTGGAGAAGATGAGGAAGAAGAAACAGAGCAAAAACATTATTTTTCCTTCTGCGAATGTAAACATAATAATCCAGCAACGGAATGAGTCACTTACATTTAGGTCTTGACAAAATATTTTTAAAAAACTTGATACTTGATATGTAGGAACTTGATATTTAGGAAAAAAATGATTATATAACGGACATTCATTGGTGAAAGCTTGTAGCTTGTATAAGTTTGATATGGGAAACATTACGGTTTATATTATACAGGGTGCGGAGCTCCTGGTGTGGTATGGGGACTGCTACCTGCAGTTCATGGGAATTCCGGTAGCGCTGAAAGAAATGGCGGACAGCGGGTCAGGGGCGGTGGCGGAAAATGGCGAAGGTGAGCAACGGGAACGGCATTCCCACCACTTTCCATGCTGATTCAAATACTCTATGTGAATAAAAAAAACTCAACAATTTGACATTGCCATAACGCTGACCAATGTCTTTTTTATCCAGCCAAAGAAGGCTACACATGTGACCGATGTGGCAAGGTGTTTGCCTACAAGTACTACAGAGACAAGCACCTCAAATACACAAGGTAAGGAAGGATATTGATATTTTTCTGTCAAATGCGATGTTTTGTAGTAAATTGTTCAAGAATTTACAGGTATTGTCAGTTTTAAAACATCCTTATGGAAAGACATCCGTATTGAAAAACTGTTGTTTGTGAATGAAAGCCCATCTGTGCTGGTAGAATCCATACTTATAGATTTCAAGCTTTGTTCCAACACAAAAGGAAAACTCACCAGCAACTGTTGTTTTTGTTTCGTTTCATTTTGACCAGATGTGTCGATCAAGGCGACCGCAAGTTCCCGTGCCACCTCTGCACGCGCTCCTTCGAGAAGCGTGACCGGCTGAGAATCCACATTCTCCACGTCCACGAGAAACACCGCCCGCACAAGTGCTCCGTCTGCGGGAAGTGCTTCTCACAGTCATCCAGGTAGGCGGCGCTTCTACACGGTTGTCTTCAGACGACATTTCAGCTGATAGTAGATATGTATAATTTGGGCACCAAATATTGAAATAAGATTTTTTAAAACACTCGTAAGGCGTCATATTGTGGCTTTTCCACTTCCTGAATGACATTTATTTGCAGTTAAGTAGGGTTGATTCTACTTTAAATACTTTGTATAATAAGAAGAAAATTTACTTCTAATTTCGGGCTTATTAGCATATCATTAGCATATGGTCCATGCCGTTTCGTAAACCCTTTCCCTTTAGACCTAGCAGGAAGAGTGGTTTCGGAAACGTTTCGTAAAACCCCATAAAATACCGTTTTTTTTTACCCCGACGGCCTCTTTAGACTGGGAACTGTTAAGCCATAGGAAACGTTTTCCACCCCGAAGAGTTCCCAGTCTAAAGTGGGCCTATGATAGTGTAATACAGCCATGTAAATCGAACGGCAAAGTAAATATAAGGGTTTCGTGTTTCGTGTCTGTGTTAATTTACAGTTGTGTGTTCATTCCAGCTTGAACAAGCACATGCGAGTCCACAGCGGGGAGAGACCCTACAAGTGCGTGTACTGCAGCAAGGCCTTCACTGCCTCCAGTATCTTACGGTACGTTTTGTATCCAGTACGCTGTGCGTCCAGTATCTTACGTTTCTGACATTCAAGTAATCTTAATCATACAAGTTCTATGTTGGTAAGAGTCATTACAGAGCAAGTATAAACTTTAATTTCCAATACAGGAAATTGTACTTACCCAAAATTTCGACTGTACAAATCTATTCTTTGTCAAGGAATTAACATGAAATGAAATTTTGTAATATCGTAAATTATAGGTAAAATGATGTAAGAACTATGTATATGAAACGGTCCTAGAGGACCCATTGGGAATTAACCCAATTCTGCAGAACTGTTCCCAGAATTCTGGCTCCGGTTTCCAGAATTCTGAAGAATTCTGGCTCCAGTTCAGAATTCCTAAGGGGTCCTTGGTGGCTGCCACATATTCCTTACATCATGTGCAGCTATAGTTTACGATATTAGCCCATCTGCTGAGATGGGCGGTTGCTGAGATATGGGAGTTAGTCCGGAATTAAACTGCAGGTCAAGAATTAAACTGGAGGCTGTTTTATGTGTACGTACACATGGATAATCGTTGTGTTTTATGTCGTTCCCCACAGGACGCATATCCGCCAGCACAGCGGGGAGAAGCCGTTCAAGTGTAAGCACTGCGGGAAGGCCTTCGCGTCGCACGCCGCGCACGACAGCCACGTGCGGCGGACACACACCCGCGAGAAGCCGTGCGCCTGCAGCGTCTGCGGCAAGTTCTTCGCGCAGCCCTACGAGCTCAAGTTCCACATGAACACACATACAGGTCAGTACACACGCTTTCTCTAACCATCTGTACTGTGGCCGACAAGTACAAACCAGCGTACTACAGACGACGCAGGTATGTACTTGTTGGCCACGGTACATCCGCCTTCAAGCCTGGCGTCCAGTCTATCGCGGTTGGGGCGGGGCTGCGGAAGCTCTTCCCCGCACGACTCAGTTATTAGGTTCCCGGCAGGTTTTGCATGACGGGGGTTCAACTAGCCCTACCGCGCCCGAGCGTAACACTCCTACCGGTCTGTTGAGCTGGGCGGGGGAAACTATTCAGTTCAGTTTCAGTTCAGTTTTTATTCGCACTTTAAAACAAAATACAGACACAAGAAAATATAAATGAAATGTGACAGTGCAGGGAGGCCGGAAGCATAAAATGCTTATGAGGAGGCCTCCCTTCATAACTTAATTAACAATTCAAATTAATCGGATAAATAAGAAATAACTTACTAGGTAACGGGTAAATGAAACAAAACAATAAAATACAATACGATACAATACTATCTACAATTATGAAAAGTAGTAATGAAAAGTAGTAAACAAGGAAACTTAAACAAAAATTAAGAATGTGTGGGGTTATTTATGAAAGTTGCTTTAGTATAATTTTTGAAAATGGTGACGGAGGGACTAATTTGTAAAGTTCTACTTAGGTTGTTCCAAATTGTTGGGCCTCTGTACGTGATTGTAAATTGACGGAGATTCGATTTCGCATTGGATGGACCTTAAATAATTGCATTGGCGTGTAAAGTGGTTGTGGATGTCTGAGTTTAATAAGAAGGTGTAGGTGTCGTGGAAGGTTTCAGGAAGGCAAGGACATTTATTCATTATCTTGTACATTAAAAGACTTGTTTGTAGTTTATTTATGTCATTTATGGACAGTATTTTGAGCTTTTTAAACAATGGTGCAGTAGGGAAAGTGAATGGAACTTTTGACGCTATCCTGATGTATCGTTTCTGAAGCAAAAAAAGCGGTTTAAGTGATGTAGTGTACGTACTTGCCCATATAATATTACAATAACTTAAGTAAGGATAGATAAGACTATAATAGAGAGTGATAAATGTTTTAGGAGATAAAAGATTTCCTACTTTCCGTATAATACCAATGTTCTTGGATATTTTTTTACTAATAAGATCGATGTGATTTTTCCATGTTAATTTTGCATCTATTAAAACCCCTAGAAAACGGGTGTGTGTTACTTGAGTAATAATGTTGCTGTTTATGTATATTTGTACGTTTTCCTTCGGGTAATTTCTATTTTTACCTGCAAATATTATTAAATTTGTTTTCTTAACATTTAAAGACAATTTGTTTTAAACCACTTATTTACTTTATCCAATTCTTCGTTCATTGTAGTTACTAACGTGTTGAGATTTTTATGAGACATGAATAGATTTGTATCATCAGCAAAGAGAAGAGCAAATAATTTTTGAGATACTTGTGCTAAATCATTTATGTAAATTAGAAAAAGTAGGGGTCCCAGGATGGATCCTTGCGGAACGCCACATGTTATCGAGTTATGTTGTGATTTGTAAATGCCATTGGTAACATATTGTTTTCTGTTAGCAAGATAATCTTTAAGCCAATCATGAACAGTGTTTTGTAAGCCGTACATATGTAATTTGTCAAGTAATATTTTGTGGTCAACGGTATCAAATGCTTTTGAAAGATCAAGAAATATGCCTACGGTGTATTCGTTGTTTTCTAGCGCTTCGGTTATTTTATCAGTTAAGCATAACAGGGGCATGTACGTAGAATATTTTTTGCGAAATCCATATTGATGAGAATAAAGAATATTATTTGTTTCTAAGTGACTATTAGAGCCCGGAAGACAGCCTAACCCAACCACGATAGACTGGATACCAGGCTAAGTTGTGGTCGTGTCTGTTCGTCTAAGTAGCAACGGTTGCATGGGGGTGGAAGGTGATTTTGACAGTTGATTACCAGAGAGGTCAAGCCCTAACGGCACGCAGCACACGCCGGGTGGGACAAAGTGGGTAGTATGTTGAGGAATTCAGGAGGTCGTGTAAAAATTCGACAGCTGTAAGTCTAGGATTTATGTTGGCATGCTTTTGAAGGATGAGGTCTAATAAGTTTTTTTCTTCGTGTCAATAATTCTAGGTGAGAAGCCATACACTTGTGAAAAGTGCGGCAAAGGTTTCGCCAGCCCTTCGTCACGTGACCGCCATTGCCTCCGATTGGACTGCACCATCGAGGATGATGACGACATCGACTTGTCCCCCACCAATCAGATGGCTACAAATGGCGGCGCCTCATCTCTGGTCAGTTTCAAAGAAGAGGCCGACATACAAGTATAAATTAAATCCGAACTTTTTTTTGCTAACAATGCACTCAAAAGACGAGACACGCGAGCAATGGAGAATACATACTAAATTGCTCGTACTGAATATGCTGAAAAGATTAAAAAGGGTTTAGATGAATCCAAATGTTCTGCATATCTAATTTTTATTAACCTTGTTGATTTTGAATTATAACGTCAGCTAAGATGTATTCTTCGTAAACGTATATATTTTCCCATAGACTTTTTAGCTTACTATGTATAGGTATGGACTATGGAGTATTTGTGTATAGCTAGACTGATCTTTTTAGGTAGGTACTTGTAATGTCGTTTTTTCTCAAATTTGTTTGTTTCAAATTTGTTTGGTACGAATTCGTTATTTGGCAGGGCTGCATTTTAAAGTGACTCAAAAGTTTTTCTAATGAAATATTGCGTTATGATTAAGTTTTCCTTGAAAATAATAAACGAAACATTTTACAGAAAATAATTTTCTAAGATGTAAAAAGTGAGATTTGGACGTGAAAGCATATGAAGTGTTAGTCTCAGAGTTCATTTATTTCTCCTTGATTGTTTAAAGCCTGGACTTTGTACCATTTTGTGCCATTTTATATCAAAATGCCAAAATCATCTCAGGGAATTTTGTATGATTTTCACGTCCATAAAAAGTAATCTCAGTACATCTAACACCGAAAGTAATCTTTTAAAAATAAAAAAGTCATTTTACCCACACCCTAAAAATGTTTGTATTTCTTCATAGAATATTCTGGACATTATCATTATGGTAGGGTGATTTGAATTATATTACGTACAAGTTGTTCATTCGTGGATTTTCTAGCAAAGTTGTAGAACTTCATATGTTCTAGCTAGAAAGTGATTAAATCGAATAAAGAACACAGTGACGTCGGTAGGAGCACCATAGTAGAACGATTTGTGTCGCTATCGTAACTGTCATTCAAATATTGAGAAAATTGTGTAATCGATGTTTTGACCAATCAGCGTCATTCATTGACAGTATCTGTGTTCTGATTGGTAAAACTGTAACCCCGCCTATCTATTACCATATATGGAACCGCTTAGATCGATATTTAATTTGTACTTGAACGTAACCACGTCGTTATGGTTAGGTGTAATATAATTGTTTTTGTAGCACTATTCATACAAAAATATCGGATACAGATTTCTGTCTGTAAAATATTAAGCGTTTTTGTTTGGGATTTTTATTTACATGACAATATAGATAGAAAAATGCCATTATTTGTGTAATGAACATTTGTATGATATCGTGTTATTTGAGTATTTCTCTTTTAAGACACAAACAAGATATCGATGTTTAGGAGAGTAACACTTGATCTGATTGGCCAGAAAGAAAGATGAAGGTCCGTCATTGGTTGTGACAGTTCTCATTTTGTATGGATTGTTGGTCCAGGAAAGTGATGAAGAATCTAAACGTGTTACAAAATGTTTTATAGATAAACAAATGTTACCACCATCGTATAGAGGCTTACAACTGTGAATATGGTGTTGAATTTTAATATAAGTCAAGGTTTGATGATCATTTTGCTGAATGACAATCATGTAAAGTGTAAAACATGTATATGTATTGTGAGATATGGGATTGTCTGTACAGAATGTTGTGTACCAAAAGTCATTGGATGTTTTAGTTATCATTTTATCAAATTCTGTGTTATTCTATATTTCTTTGACTTGTTTGGCCGTAACTGAACGTATGAGTTATTGCATATTACGTTTGTTCATTTTTAACGGTTACTTTGAAAAAAAAACGCAGCTACTAGAATTCATTAATTCTTAATGTATTACTGTTAGAACATGTGCTTGCTTGTGTCTTATATGATATTGGTTCTCATATCGAGAGGGCTTTAAAAGTTTTGTTGGCTATATTCGACAATCAATATTGAGTGTGAAAGAATCGTGTTAATGTTACATATGGAATGTGTACATGGAATAAAAAATAAAATGATAAAATGTTACCATGTGATGTCGTTCTTTGTTGAGCTCTTTTGGAATAGATAATGGTGGAGGAAACTTTTCAAACTTCTAATTCCAGAAAGTTTTTTGGGACTTCCTGGCATTGAAGTTCACAGAGCTTCATGGAAGTGAACCATGAAGAGGATTTTGTGATGTAATTATAAGGGTTAATGACCCGCCCTGAGGTGAATATGGTATGATAAAACCTTGTCAGTTGCTAGAACCACAGAATTAGGCCACCGACTGAGCGCAGCGAACTGACAAGGCTTTATCACACCACATTTACCAAGAAAGGGCCGGCTTCATATCCCATAATTGGCAACCACTTTTTGTACAGAATTAGCTAGTAGGAAAACGGCAAATCATGAATATTAATAGCGCAAGGGATTAATTGAATTGAAAATACATTTGTAACATGGTTGGTTAAAAAAAACTACGTTATCAGAAACAGAACTAAACAGAACTCTAGTCGAAATTGTCAAATGGTTCGACGCTAATTTTGCAACAACAAATTTTAAACCAAAAAACAACAAAAAAAAAAAAACACCCAATCAAAACGTTTGCATTCTATAATGTAGTTTTGGGTTAACATAATATGAAAGGAGCATACACGCAATAAGAATTAGCGATGATATCAACTCTAATATATCAATTCTGATTGATAACACACTCATATATGGGTCTATTATTCTAGGATTTGTCATTGGGTAGTTTTGGTAGAATCTGCATCTAGGAAAATTTGAAGTCAATGAATAAACGGTTGGACTGTATTTAATTCAGACCTTTGAGAGAAGAACACAAAAACAATGATTGGAAATACCAACATTTTCCAGCTCATTCCCAAAGGTTTAAACTTTAATTTTGTGGCTCAATCAAAGAGTGATTATAATTAAGTAGCTAATTATGTTTCCTTCATTAAGGCCAGTCTCCGAGGTAAGATTCTGGGCTGCCATGGGATTAATTTCACGGTTCAACTTTTGAAAGTAATTCGAATTTGTCATGCCATACCTCATTGGTCCGCTGAAACTTGACGGATGGAGGGAAAATGCATCTTATTACTTTTGTACAAAATTACTTTTGTGAAGTCTACGAATATACATGTACATTTATCTGTGATTTAATTCATCTTGGAAACGTCCTTTTTAGTACTTGGTGATTTTCGTTCGCATGCATTGAAGGTGAATTTCACTTTGTTATCACTTGAGATACATTGTTACAGACTATATTACTACTAAGAAAAAGTTCACCCTATCTGATACAGAAAACGATACATTCCATAAATAGTTGCCATGATGTCAACTCGATTCCATGAGCTAGACCAAATCAACGATTCAATACGTAGCCATATTGTAACTAATATATTGTGGTTTGTAGTAAGGATTGTTCAAAGATACTTCAGTTTTGTAGTATTGTTGTCTTACTGCCACACATTGTACCATGTACGATTGTCGAGCAATAAAGTTCATTCATTCATTATGTTTACCGAAGGAAAACATATTGTTTTTGCTCAGTTTCTTCCTCTTCTTCTTCTTCTCCTCCAAACGGTGACCTATGACCTGACCAATGAAATGATTTGTTGACGTCTGTCACCATGGTAACTGGTGTTAGGTTACATAATGTTGCAAATTTTAACAGTTAACAGAGAAGACCATGTCCGAAGGTAAACATTATTCATTTGCTTTGCAAATGTTACTTCTTGCTCTAGTTCATTCATGCATTATGGAAAAGTTGACAACGAAACGTTGACACACTATTACTATTTTTTTTCTTTCTAAACCTTGAAATATTTTCGTTTCAGCATATTTCTCTCCCTGTGTTCTCTATTAGGGATTGTAGGAAACGTACAAATTAGTAAGCAAGATATATAGATGCATAAGATCTTCTTCAAGTTCCTCCCTATCTTCACGAGTGGACTATTCCGGTTGGTCAAAGGTCATCTTCTAACACATGGCGGTCGTGTAACCAAATGTCCTTGCAAAACAGTAATACATACCGCCGGAAAACAACATTTCTGTGTTTTTATGATGTCTAGCGCAAGGAAAAGGAGAGGACAGAATTCTCAAGCACCGAAACCAAATGCTGAAAAGGAAAATGATGCTCCGAAAGGCCCGGTGGAGGTAAATATGTAACAATATTCTTCCATATTAGTTTGTTTTTATGTAACGACTCGAATATATAACGTTATATATAATATACGAATATTATGAAATATGACATAGCCTAGTATAAAACGGTTATAGAACCTCAATAAATCTAAGAAGTGTTTGTGTGTGTATGTGTGTGTGTGTGTGTCTGTGTTATGTGTGTGTGTGTTTGTATGTGTGTGTGTGTGTGTGTGTATGTGTGTGTGTGTACATGTGTGTGTGTGGTGTGTGTGTGTGTGTGGGTGTACATGTGTGTGTGTACGTGTGTGTATGCATGTGTGTGTGTGTGTGTGTGTGTATGTGTGTGTGTGTGCAAGGTGTACACGTATCATACGTATGATGTCCTTGGTGTGTGTTAATGTATGTGAGTATGTGTGTGTGTGGCGTGTGTACATGTGTGTATGTGTGAGTGTGTTAATGTATGTGTGTGTGTGTGGCGTGTGTGTGTGTGTGAGTTTGTAAACATTTACCAATCGAAAATGCTTATTATATTAAATTATTATGGACTGTCTTGATATGGTAGATAGATAATTAAGGCTTTGATGAGTCCTTAAAAGGATTAGATTTTGGAAGCCCTATCTCGTTATTACCATGCAGTGATGAGTGATAATTTATACCATCACCCAAGAAATCTTTAAGAAGTTGAAGGCGGCTGCCTCAAATTGTCAAGAAGAGTTATCTTCCATGTTGTACAGTAAATGTTTTTGCCGCCATATTGCAGACCTTTGACCCTCGGAGACGGTCCAAGCCGCGTAGCTTGCTGTCGCGGTGTATGAACACGGGCAAGTACATCCTGTTCGCTCTGTTCCTGCCTCCGTTCCTCAACTACTCCGCACTCATCCGCGAACAGGAGATCATGCAACCAGAAGGTCAGGGGTCATTTGAAACTTGTCTAAGGCCACACTGTCTTAATTTTATGGATGACATCCTCTGAAGACCCCCAAACTAATGCAGGCGGGTGAATTAAATTGAAAAGAAATTCCAACCCAAAAAAATGCTACTAAACCATTATTGTCATTTATGATTAAAAAAGCTGGCATTATGAATTTGTGGTACTACCGTTGTACATAGCTATCTTTACGACAAGCCAGCACATGCTGGCCGTTAGCGTAATTTATGAATCGGCACTATATGTATAAGGGGTTATATTGGGGCAAGTAACTATATAGTAAACTATAACATTTTCTTTGTTGTATTTCTGCAGGTGACTTTGTTGATGTTGGAGAGGGACAGAAGATATTTATCAACTGTAAAGGAAAAGGTGCCCCCACAGGTAAACCTGGGATCAAGTAACATTATTGGCAACTCCTCAGGAGTGGTACCTTTTCAACTCAATCTTCCTCAGCCTATAGCTGGCCTTTCTTCTCTGATTGGGACGTGGATCATTTTGGTGGGAAACCCATCATAAAGTGATCTTTTGACTATTTTGATTATTGATATCAAAGCACTGTTGATAAAAAGAATATACAGTCACTGTCTAATTTAACCTGTACCTTTCTACACCTTCTTAGGTAACAGAAACGTAGAGAATCTGTGTCAAATGTAGGGTGTAAAGTCGTAAAAGTCTTTGTGTGCGAAGGGGGAAATTTTGAAACCACAGACTGACAAGACGGTCAAATTTGAGGTCAAAATTGAAATTGGGGTACAAAATGAAAATACACAGAATCTGTGAGAAATTAAAAAAAATTAAAATAGTAAATATTACAAAAAAATCATAACTTTATTTTAAAGACTGCATATTAGATGTGTGAAATTTCTGATTTCTTGTTTTCTAGTGCTTTTAGATGCAGGGACTGGAATGACATCAGATGTATGGGAATTCATACAACTAGAGCTGGCTAGAAGTACCAGGGTAGGTGGATATGTTTTTCTTTGGCCTGTTTGTTCAAATCTTGTCTCAGTATGTGGTGATATTTCATATGACATTTTGTTATTATTTTTACCAAAGGAAAACATATTGTTTTTACTACGTTCTTCTTCTTCTGTTCCAAACACTAACCTATGACCTGGCCAATGGCCTGATTTGCTGATGTCTGTCACCATGGTGACTGGTGTTGGGTTACGTAATGTTGCAGTTTCATGGTCTGCTCTGCTCCTGTCACAATATACTAGTAGTACATGTATGTGAATGTGTTTGAGTAAAAATTAACATGGCAGACCATGTCCGAAGGTAAACATTATGCATTTGCTTTGCAAATGTTACTTCTCTAGTAAATAATGTTTTTTTGCAGGTATGTGTGTATGACCGGGCAGGCCTAGGATACAGTGATGTCCCACCACCGGTATGTGAGATCAGCTTTTTGTTACAAGGATGATACAAAAAGTGAATTTTCTGTTCTTTAAATTCTTTACAAATTAAGTTTAATCAACCCTACTACATTGCAAATAAGTGCCAAGTGGAGGTGCTAGAATATGATGCCTTACTAAGTGTGTTTAGCTGGAAACACAGCTGTCAGCCATGTTTGTTTACCTTCTGGTAGTTTTTGGTGGTGCCACAAACTGAGCATGCTTTTGTGTGTTAAAAACTGGGATGATCCAAGTAAATTGCATGTAGTTTGATGGTTGACAAAATAGCGATATAAACCATGTAATAATATTTCAGCACCAAGGACATTACCAATATTTTTCATTCAGTGTTTCAAACTTTTTTAAAGTGCCTTTTTTTTCAGGGTGTGGAAAGTAGGTGGCAGCCATACACTATTGAAACGTAAGTTAAGTCATTTAAAAGACAATATTCATAGTGTTTTTCTCAGTATTGTTATTGACCAATAAGATTACACGAAACAACCTAAGAGTGTTGTAAAACCTGTTACGATTGGTGAAAACAGGATGGTGGAGACCCTCAACAGTATTGCTTTTGACCAATAAGATTACACGTACCAACCTAAGAGTGTTGTAAAACCTGTTGTGATTGGTTGAGACAGGATGGCGGACAACCTGCACCAAGTCCTCCAGCAGAAGAAAGAGATCAGAAAACCGCTGATTCTGGTTGGTGCAGAGATTGGCGCTCTGGTTGCCAGATTTTACGCACAGATGTACGAAGTGTGAGTAACGTTTCTTTCTCTCTAGAGAAAACTAACTATTTTAGTTTACTATTTTGTTTTTGCTCAGTTTCTTCCTCTGACTTCATCTTCTGTTCCAAACACATTAGAAATTAATATTTCCATAACTGAAAATCCTACATTCTTCCCACAGAGATATCCTGGGACTTGTACAGATTGAGCCACTTGTGGAAAATATCTTCAGTGTGGATGGTGGGGTGTGGGTACAGTACTGGTAAGTAGTGCACTGGGAGAAGCATGTTTAGGGAGACATCCTTTGTCCAGCTTTCTACATGGTGATTGGCAGAACGTACTGCGCCTGCGCGAAACCCCGAATTTTGACGGTTTTCATTGGATGTTTGCCTTTTGTTTGGTCAACGTTGCATCAGAATTTCACCGGCCTGTTGCAGACAATATCATTTTCGACATAACATTTGCAAACTACAGGCGGGATGTTAATCTTATATACGCGAATACCACCTTATATAAAACGTTCTGCCATTATAGTGCTATGCATAATAATACACCACCGGTTTTGCGCAGGTGCAGTACGTTCTGCAGTCTTAATCAAGTGACCGTTTTTTTTAAAAGTAGCAACCTGTATAAGGAGGTTTAAACTTGCTTGATTAGTATCAATCAAAACATGTTTTTTTTTTATTTCCCCCTTATAGGTACAACCAATTGTTGATGTCTCTCCAAGCTCTTCAGTTCTCAGCTTCGATTGGCTTCACGAGGTTTGCTCTCATCTTCGGCATGGTAGACCAACCAATCACAGGGGAGTTTACATCTAGCAGTGTCAAAATCAGACAGGTACATGTATCTGCAACCTCTTTTCTTTAAAAATTAGACTGAGTGTACAATAACACTTTTAAGACATATTATACAGGAATAAAAGTAGTATAATACTGGTTTGACTAAGTGTATTTGTCTGCTAATGTTCTGACTTTGGTTGCATGGTTGGGTGGGTGGGAGGTGATTGTGACAGTTGATTGATAGGAAGGTCACAGGCCATTGGGTGACCCTGCATCCTCCAATGGAGTACTAGTACTAGACTTCAGGGACTGGTGTAATACACAATTATATTACATCATTCATTGTACAAAATGACTAATAAAGTGGTGGACGTACCAACCACTAAGTACCTAAGGATTGAGGTGTTCAATAACTCATTCTTTTCAAGAACTATCGCAGATCTAGAGTGAAACTCTCTGTCACTAAGTACAGTAGGGGCATTATCAATAGATAGCTTTAAACAATGTTTTGAGTTAGATGTTCAAGAGTTAGGTGTAACAAATCGTTCAGTGTAATGTAGCCAGCTGCCGCTGCACCGCGTGCCTGGTGTGTTACTTCCTGGAAGTCTAAAATCTGTGATTTCTTGTTTTTTTCTTGACAGAAATACCTGCTATGTCAACCCCGGCACCTCAGTGTTGCAGTGGACGAACATTACTTCATCAACAACAGCTTCTCACAAATAAAGTAAGGAACAAGTGTACTGTAATTCAATTGTATATCATATCTTATATGATTAGGTCCTGTTGATTTGATTATATGGATGACATCCTCTGGGAACCCTAAAACTGGTAGAAACCAGAAGTAGGATTCTTCTTGATAAATTTTATCTTAAAAGTATTTTGCACTTTTACAGCACTTTATGGACAATGAAGTCATTTCCGAAAAACATCTCAGTAACTGTCATCAACGGGAACTATTACGATGAGCAGCTGCCACCAGAGCTCAACAGGGTAAGTTTCACAGTATTGTTCAATTCCTTTTTGGGAATAGGTGAACTGTTGCACCCAACCTAAAAAATTAGGTGCACAACAAATTTTTTGGGTGCACCATATGAAACAAAACCTAACTGCAGGTCTTACTGCCCCTCTTCTGAGCTTGAATCTAAAATGAGAGCTAACTTCAAAATCTTAAACAAGTACTACAACAAAGATTTTATTGTTTTTCTTTTTTTCACACACTTTTGTGGAACTGTCGCAAGGGTCTGTGCGGCTGCCATTCGGTGCCACAAGGTGACCTCAATATGACTTTCCCCAACCGAAGTTGGGTACCCATTCACACCTGGGTGGAGTGAGGAAAGTCGTGTTAAGTGCCTTTGCCAAGGGCACAACGTCAGGGCGCATGTCCAGACATGTCCCGGGTGCGACTCGGAATCGAACCCAGGTCTCCCCGCTTCATAGTCAAATGCTCTAACCACTACACCATCCAACGCCACCTTGAACGCCGAATGCCATAGTCGAACGCTATACCACTACACCACCCGATGCCACATCCTGTTCACATTTCTGACAATCATTTGTTTGCAGGCGTGGGCCAAGTCCCAGCAGCACCTGATCTCTAACGTCCACCCTGGCTGTAAGCACATCGTGGTCAACGGAGCTGACCGACACATGCTGTACAAGAACCCCAGCTCAGTGGTCAACCCTGTCCTCAGACTGGTCAAGCAGTGGAAACACTCCAACAGAGAAGCCAAGAAACAATGACAGATGCCATCAGTGTTACCCCCTAGGGCCACAGCAAGTAAATTTTATGGATAACATCGGGTCCACAGACTCCAAAGCTAATGCGAGCAGGCGAAAAAAAATAAGGCGGGCCGAAAAAAACAAGGTTCCTACAATTTAAAATTTTGACTCATTCTCTCCAATGATTGTACAAATGGTTTTTATTCAGTGAGAACGTCACATATACACAGCCAGCATCACATATCACTGCATCAAAGTAAGAAACAAAACATTAAATCAGAGACTTTTCTTGTCTCCTCTCTTCATAGTTATCTGCCATCCACCTTCTGGCATGGCAACAGACATCTTTGCCCATTTTTGGCATGTTGACCACTTTCAGAAGGCAACAAAATTAGTTTTTTTTCCAAAATCAGGCGAAAATTGATGCGCGCGCTGATGTCATCCATAAAAATTACTTGCTGTGGCCTAGGTTGGATCAATGTAGTGCCAAAGTGCCGTTTTGTCATGTTCACCTATTCTACTTTCATACTGAAATTACAACAAACGTTGATGAAGGTTAGACATCCGGGTAATGTCCAAATCCCAAAAGTTAGGGGAACACCTCATAACTGTGTTAAGTGCTGTAATATGATTTTTGTCGAGAAGAGTGAGATAGTAGTGATGTTGTTGTGTTCAAGTGTTTGCTTGACAATGTGATTATTTGTCTTGAAAGACTCTACATAGAGTGACCAAACTGCCAAACACAGTCAGAAATAGGGGGTAGAAAACTGAAAACTAGCTGGAAAGCTACAAATTCAAAACAAACATTTCTCAATATTGTCAAGTTGCCTCATTATTTACCTAATGTAGGTAAATTTGATCACCATATACCTCTCTTGTTGGTTTACTCTCTTTGTCTTGGAAGAGAAACTGAGAATACTTTGATTTTGTTTTTGCAAAGACACATAATTATGGTATTACAGATGAGTTTATGAAATATTGTTGCAGTATTGAGTAAAAAAAATGGTTCGTGTGGCAATGTTTTAGTATCCATGTTTATATGATAGTGATATTGTCAGAAGTGTCAATGATTGTAAACTAAAGAGTACCTCTAGATGAGACATAATTTTTTTTCCTTTTAAGCTGCAAGTTGAGGAGCCTGTAAAGATATATAGGCAGTAGTGCTGTGTACCTAAACCCACGTTCAGGTCCAGGTCTGGATTCAAGTCCAGAGGTTTAGGTTCAAGTCCGGACCTACAAAATGTAAACCCAGGGCATATACAAAGTATGGGAGTGACTTCTCAGTTAACATTTCCAATGGAAAAAGGGGCATCTTTACAAAATTTTGTAGCGAGCACTACACTACCAGCAGGGTTTAGAAGCAAGATATGTTGTTTGCGGGGCACGTCTGGGCAAAACTGTGGCCACAATTTACGGAGGCCGACACTTGACTATGCCCAAAGGCAATGTTTTGCAGCGCATATTTTTGACTATTGAAGATTTCAGGTGGTCTAGAACAAAAAGGGGTATGTGACATGCCTTTTTTTTGTAAGTCTGGAACTAGATCCAGACATTCAGGTTTTTTGGACTTGTACCAAAAATTTTTACAAGTCCATAACCGGTCCAGTGAACTGGTACACAGCACTAATAGACTGTTATGGAAAAGTTTGTAAGATATAGTACATGTACTGGATAAGACCAAATGTTTTAGATCATTTGAAGATGTTTCTTAAAGACAAACAGGGTGCAATAGTTCATATTTTTATGGAAAAAATGTGATGATATACAAACTGAAGCAATAATTCTCTACTTATTCCCCACATTAAAAAGAACTTGTTGTCTATATTCATTTGATGTTTCTGTCTTGATTTTAATACTCTAGTTACACGTACAACCATTTCTGTTCTTTAATGTCTTTTAATAGTTTTATGTCATTTTTAATGTCATTCTTTAAATTAAAAACAAGCAGTCAAATAGTCATAAAAACTTTTTCTGTCTTGTGAAAAACTGTCTTATGAAAATAAGACAGTACAAAGGACAGAAAATTGAACAATTTAATTAACAATACTATATAATACATCCCTATCAAATGTACTTTAATAGAAGACATTTCATGTCTTATTTGCACTATTATCTTAAACAGCATGTAAGCAACTTAATCGCAAGTTTTTCAAATCATTCAAATGTTGAAATGAATGATTTTTCTGAGAAAATGGTATGGGAAGAGAAATATAAGAAGGATATTTTTGCTCCGTTAACAGAATATTTATTACAACTATTTTAAGGTCAAGAAATGCTAATATTGCAAACTAAGATACTGAATCAGTATCTTAGTTTGGAATATTATTATTTCTTGACCTTATGGGTACTCAAAGTTTTAATTGTAGCCGATGTCGCTACTTTCACGCCTTCACAAAGCGATGCTCTATTTCCGTGATTCCCACGGGTTGTTGTGCGTTCTCATCGTAGTCCATCCATTCGCCCTCCGTCAGCTCGACCTCATCGAACTTCATACCCGAATTCTCGCCTTCCGCCACGAAACCCACCCTGGGCGAGAAGTCCACCGGCTCGACCCCGCGGCACTCAAACACGACCACGCTACGGAATTCCTCGCTGTTTTCCGCGCAGTACGGTTGGATGCTGTCCTGGAGGATGTCCAGGTTGTTCTCGCGGCTGCACAGTTTGCACTTCGCGACCAGGTTAGCGTGACCCCGCCCTCCTTTCAGCGGTGTTGATTCCTGAAAAACCGATTGGTTGAAAATCACCAACTTATTTGGTTCCAAAGCATGCCCGTAGCCAGGATTTTGAATGGGGGGGGTTCTTCCCACTGCTTGAGGGGACCTCGAGCGCCGGCGCGAGGTTCCTAGGGGGGTCCTGGGGCATGCTCCCCCGGAAAATTTTGAAAAATTAACCTTCTAAAATGGCATTTCGTGCATTTTTGAGAGGATTTCCAAGAAAAAAATCAGAGATAAATTTTTAAGGGACAAAGCATGGACAAAGGGAGCAGTTTTTCTACGATTCCAGTCTATCTTTTTTCAAGAAAAATCTTGGACCTTTACATAAAATGTGGACCAAAAAGTGGACCTTTACATAAATGTGGGCCAAAAAGTGGACCTTTACATGAAAAGTGGACCAAAAAGTGGACCTTTGAGCCTTGTGGGGGGGTTCTTCCGAACCTAATTACGGCTACGGGCATGCAAAGTCTCTAAGAACAAGGTCCCTGCAGTTCAAAACAAAGTTGATAGGGCGCCTGTTCAATGTTCAACATGCAGTCAGCAATGCGTGCCATTATACCAAACTCGTGCCATGTCTTTCCGAGCACAAGAGCTATCTACCATCCAGAATTTGTGACCGTAGCATGCTCAGATCATGAGATATCAAAAGCAGGACTTTCACTGCATTATACCATAACAAACTGCTAGGCAAGTCATTTTGAGGTCTCATCAACACGTATCATTATAAACGTTACCCACCTACCACAAGTTTCATGACAGTCACACACGCACCCACAAATGCTACCAAGAACATAGCCTTCTGACAAAGGTAACAAACCATACACTACCTGCAACGTGACATATTGCCACTTCTCGCTGACTTCTCCACACGACAGACACTTCAGCTTCAGATACCAGCGGAAATCCTCCCCCTCTGGACGGAGGTTGGTGATGTTCTCCAGCACAGCTTTCAACTGGAGGGCAATTTTCACCATGGTGGTCCCTTAGGAAATCTGAAATGACTGTACAGAAAGGGGTACAAAATGACACCTAGCAGAACTCTCAGAAACTGCAGAAGTGGTTATGATGTTCTCTAGCACAGCTTTCAACTGGAGAGCAAGTTATGCTGACTGCAAATGTGCGGAAACACAAAGACACAGACACACACACAGGCAGACACAGACACACACACACACACAGACACACACACACACAGACAGACACACACACACACAGACACACACACACAGACAGACACACACACACAGACACACACAAACACACACACACACAGACAGACACACACACACATACAAACACACACACGCGCCAAAAACAATATCTGACCATTTTTCATGGAGCTAATAACTTCTAGTAAAGTTACATTGTATCTAAAATGAGTAAATATTACGCAAAGGTTGAATTTCTTTTCATTAAAACTTTGAATGCATGAAAATACAACGTGGCTTACCACTTTACACGCATACACGTTCGCCAAGTGCTTCCCGAAATTGGCTTGAATCCGAGTAATCGAATGTTCTGCTACCTTCCCGAACATTCTCTTTGCGTTGATTGGTCGAAAGCCTGCTAATTAAAATAGTAGATTTGTAAAATCCTCTGTGATTGGGCTCTTTGTCGTAAATGTAAGAATTCTGACCAATCAAATCAACGATAAGAAACTGAAGCTCCGCCCTACTGAGGTTAAAGAGTAAAGGTTATAGGTTAGCAGGAAGTCGTGCCTAGCAGACGGCAAACATGACGGAAGCTGCGAAAGTGAGTATAAAAACATCCGTTTTTTCGCCATTTTATCTATTATCTAGCGATCTACGTTGGCAAAATAAGTAGGAAACATGTTCTCATGTTATCTGGAGACAGAAATCTCAAAGATCTGATTCTAAACTTGATAAAAACGCGACAGAATTAGGCGCCCAAGTGCGCAGTTTTCGGCGTTTCTATCACCAAACATGGTCAACAACACGATGTTTTGATACGTGCATCAACTAGTAAGTCCTTACGGTCAATTTCAAGTGTTTAATGTGTTTTCACGGGAAGAAATTTCACCAAAAGCACACCAGATCGTGCGAGAAGCTACTAGAACGTTCTGAGTACCGTTAGACAGCTGCACATGGCCTGTAGGACCGAGGCTCCATGCGCACTGATGACACATTCCGCACATACCGGACCGAGACTATTTTTGGTTCGGTGAGACTAATCTCCAAGCAGATATGAGAGGAAAACATCACAATACTCTATTAGACCATGTTTCCACGTTTTTTTTAGGAAGGATAAATTGTTAGAAAAACGTATATACAAAATTTTACAACGTAAATATTGTTTTAGCAAGATGTAAAGGTAAAGGTAACTTTGTAATTTCCCTGTATCTGCTTGGAGAAAAGAAAAGAAAACCGGAGCAGACTGTATCATGATGGATAATAACAGGTGTAAATTTTGTGTCAGCTGGCTCGCCATTCATAATTACTAGTAATTGTTATATTATTATTTTATAAGATAGATGATATTTCCTACTCAGTTGGGAATGTTGTAGTCCATACATAGTCTTTGACAAGGCCCTTGGCTTCAGTCTCTGATATTAAGTTAAAAAGAAAAGAATGTGGTGACTGAGTCTACATAAAGAAATTGCTCTGGCATCAATTAAAAAGTTGTTTTACATGAAAAGGAGTTTTGCATCTTGAGTTGAAACAATTTTTTTCTGTAGTACCTGTGTACTGTAATAATAACTGATAATTATGAATAACATTTCTGTAATGCTATGAAAACAAAACAAGATCTACCACTGTTCTTATTTCAAATTCAAATATTGATATGTATGGAAATTGTTATTCATTGTCTTTTTTTCATGTTTAATACTTTGAATTAGACTTGGGTTTAGGCAAGAATTATTGTTTTTGTCCAATGTTTTTGTTTATTGTTTATGTTTATGTTTACAGTCGGAAGCAGAGCTCAGTAAGGAGCAGGGGAACCAACACTTTAAGGCTGGGGAGTATGAGGAGGCTGTCAGCTGTTACACACAGGCTCTCAAGTTGTCTGAGAAAGGGGACAAGGGCAAGGCTGTGTACTACAAGAACAGGGCAGCATGTCATCTCAAACTGGTGAGTTCCTAAATGCACATTTAGGTTCAGGTCCGGATTCAAGTTCAGAGGTTTAGGTTCAGTTCCAGACTTCTAAGTCCGGACCTAAACCCATGGCATATTAATACAAAATTGCATGTTGGCAACCTTGCAATGTTGTCTGGGTGAAACTTTGGCCACATAACATGGAGGCCGGTACTTGACGATGCCCGATGGCAATGTTTTCTTCATTTTGCAGCAAAGATTTTGCAATCTATGGAAGTTTTTAGATGGTTCGGAAAGAAAAGGGGTATGTGATCATCCGGACTCGGTTCTTGACTTTTAGGTTTTTTTGGACTTGAACCTAAACATTTTTATAAGTCTGGATCCAAGTCCAGTGAACCGGTACTCAGCACTACTGGTGAGGAAGTTAAACTGTTCATAGAAAGCCACATCAGAAACCACTGCTTCAACTTTTGTTTTGTCACCTTTTTGCTTAAAAAGAAACAGTGAACTTTTATTTAAAGAATTGTTGTGTCTATTTTATATAGGAGGAATACCAAAAGGCAGCAGCAGATGCTTCAAAAGGTAAGCAGAATTTTGTGATAAGTTGCCGTAGACCCAAAATTGCAACTGTCCATCACAATTAGCGGTTTAACCAATGATAGCATGGCAATTAGCAGTCTGACCAATTAGAGAGGCCAAAAGTCGGAGCTGCATGTCCCAAAGTTTTACACTCATAGACTGATCCTGACTTTCCATCACAATTAGCAGTTTAACCAATGATAGCATGGCAATTAGGAGTTCGACCAATGATTTCAAAGCAATTAGCAGTTTAACCAATGATAGCAGGGCAATAAGCAGTTTAACCAATAATAGCAGGGCAATTAGGAGTTCGACCAATGATTTCAAAGCAATTAGCAGTTTAACCAATGATAGCATGGCAATAAGCAGTTTAACCAATGATAGCAGAGCAATTTACATTTCAACCAATGATAGTAGCCAATCAACTAATGATAGCATAGCAATTAACATTCCAGCCAATTATAGCATTTGCAGTTAGCAGTTCAACCAATGATAGCAGGGCAATTAGCAGTTTAACCAATAATAGCAGGGCAATGTACAGTTCAACCAATGATAGTAGCTGATCAACCAATGATAGCATAGCAATTAATGTTTCAGCCAATTATAGCAAGGCAGGTAGCTGTTCAACCAATGATAGCAGGGGAATTAGCAGTTTAACCAATAATAGCAAGGCAGTTGGCAGTTCAACCAATGAGGGAGTGGCTAATTCTAATTACCCCCTTTCCAGCCCTGGACATTTCCGGTAATGACTCCAAGGCCCTGTTCAGGAAGTGCCAGGCACTGGAGCACCTGTCGGAGGAGAACCCGCAGCACCTGACAACTGCGTACAAGGACGCCATGCGGCTGCTGCAGATGGAGCCCAAGGACAGCCAGGTGCGCGCCATGCTGGTCCGCCTCAAGGACAGGGTCATGAAACTGGTGAGTAAGAATTTGGTGGAAATTCAGTGTGTTTCAGTTTATTTAGCCCCTTAAAGGTATCCAATGCAATTTCAGGGCAACAAAACTGGGTGGTACCCTAAAAATCTAGGAATAAACAGAGCAGTACTTTGTGATGCTAGACCATGTGAAGGCAAAGTTATGCATTTACTTTGCAAAAGTAAATTCTAGTTACGACTTGGATCAACAAGTATACGTGTATTGTCAGGATCTTAAATAATTTTTGGTCTTTTTCTTGAATTTCAGAGCACAGAAAAGCACACAACAACCAACCGTGTTGAACAGATGTTAAAGATTGCCTTTGGTAAGGAGGAGTCCTTGGAGAACAAGAGAAAGGTAAGAAACAGCCTCCTATCTGAAACCAGGTACTCTTTTACACCTGAGTGAAGTGAATAAAGTCGTGTAAAGTGCCTTTCCCAAGGGCACAAGACCTGTGACATCATGATCATGGTAAACTTGGGGTCTCTTGGTCCTGAGCCGAACTTGCTAGTACTACCATTCACACCACATGACCCCACGCGTCATTTTGAATAATAAAAAAAATGTTTTTTCTTTTCCCCACCAGGCTGTGAGTAACCTGATTGTTCTGTCGCGTGAAGAGGCGGGCGCTCAGCTGATATTCCGCGAGGGCGGGATCCAGGGTCTGGACCTGCTACTGGACCATCAGGACGAGGAAATTCTCCTCAACGCCATGATGGCGCTCACTAACTTGTGTTATGGACACAGGTCTAGGGTGAGTCACATTGACCAATCCTGACTGTTCAGCCAATGGGAGAATGGCAATTAGTGGTTTGACCAATCAGAGAGTGGCTGCATGAATGTTATAGACCAATCCTGGCTGTCCAAACTGTTCAGCCAATGGGAGGATGGTAATAAGTGGTTTGACCAATGAAAGAGTGGCTGTATGTATGTTATGGACACAGGTCTAGGGTGAGTCATATAGACCAATCCTGGCTGTCCAAACTGTTCAGCCAATGGGAGGATGGCAATTAGAGGTTTGACCAATCAGAGAATGGCTGCATGACTGTTATGGAACCGGTTTAGGGTGAGTCTCATATAGACCAATCCTGACTGTCCATTTCAATTAACAGTTCAGCCAATAAGAGAATAACAATTAGTAGTTTGACCAAAGTACCAAATACACTCATATGGCTCTATGCAAGTCTATAATACATGTACTACTGACAACCAACACACACATATATATAGATGACACACTGTATACAATATACATGTATATAACTATAATATGTATAATATACCTGAAAAAACGGTTTTCCATGTTAATCCAATATTTCCTAGAACATAATTTGAATCTTTCTACCAAATCAATATCTATCCCTTTCCCTGTTCCAGACCATGGCACTGTTAGATGCCATCACGTTACCCAAGATCTGTCGGCTTGTCGCACGACCAGATGAGAAAGTGTCCAACGGGGCCACGTCATTGGTTCAGGCAGCGATCCGCGCCGTGACGGGATTGGACAAGGTCATACACCGTGGGGCGGAAGAGGCTGTGGTGATTGGTCAGTATCATTGTTATTCAAATTTGAATACCTCTTTTTACAATCTGGGTATGGATGTTTTCCTTTGATGAGCCTCATTGTGTCTGAACAGTAGGTTGATAGCACATGGGTCAAAGATTGACAGGCAGATTAACACAAAGTTAAAGGCTCAGACAGAGGGAGTGGAGTGATCCTCCGTTGTTCCAGTAACTTCATGCAAACCCAAAATACTTCCTTGAAGTCGGAAATCTCTGAATTTTTCAGAATACGTGTCTCATAACCTGTTCTCTCCCTCACAAATTTGCATATCAATCAATAGTTTGTGCTTATAAACCTGCATTTCTCCTCTGGTCTCTCAGTTACTGACAAAAGCTAGTGGATACTAGCTGACCGTTTCCAAAACTATATCAAATCATATCCAGTTGCTTGAGTAACTGCTTTTTGGTGTATCTTATTATGTTTACCGAAGGAAAACATATTGTTTTTGCTCAGTTTCTTCCTCTTCTTCTTCTTCTCCAAACAGTGACCTCTGACCTGACCAATGATTTGATTTGTTGACGTCTGTCACCATGGTGACTGGTATTGGGTTACATAATGTTGCAATTTCATGGTCTGCTCTGCTCCTGTCACCATTTATAATTAGTAGTACATGTATGTGATGTGTGTTTGAGTAAGAATTAACAGAGCAGACCATGTCTGAAGGTAAACATTATGCATTTTCTTTGCATATGATACTTCTCTAGTTACCTGGATGTCTAACCTTCATCGACATGTTCTCTCATATCATAACAGATAACACAGCCGACCTTGAACAGCTCCTGAAGGCCCTTCTGGTCATGCTGAAGGACAAGCGAGTGTCGGGCATCGGGCGTGACAACGTCATCGACTTGATCATCAAGAACGTGCCCAAAAAGGGCGGGCTTGGCATCATCATCAAGACCAACGTTGCACAGAGCAAATACAAGGATGGCATCGGCTGTTCTGAGCTCTTTATAGATATGGGAGGTATGTTTTGTGTTGTTGTTTTTTTTAATGGACTTGTTCAATGCTTGGCCTATACAACCACTTCTCGGCATTGAACTAGAAATATGAGAGAAACATGGCTATATCAAGAGATGGCGGCGAATGTTTGATTTGAAAGCCTGTAGATTGTAGGTTGGTGGAAAACACTTGTCATGCAGGGAGGGAATTCCAAAGCTTGGCCGTACGGGGAAAGAAACTGTCACAGTGACTGTAAAAAGATTTTGAACAAGGAATTTGGATGGTGAAGTTGTGTGAGCTAGTGGAGAACCTAGACTACATTTGTAAGTGGAACGCTTAAAAGTTCTGAGTGATAGAACTAGTTAGGTGAGTTCTGCAGAGCAATGACCATGAAAATATCTGTAAAAGAGATAAAACTTATTTTTGTTAGGCCTAGGAAAAAAATGTTGTTTTCCTGTTTCCCGACTGACCCTAAAAAAAACTAGCCTTTTTTTGGTGTGGACCCCTGCAAGGGACGTAAATTTTTCAAGCTGATCGACCTTTTCTAGATCTACCTCCATGATCTGACACATGAGTGATGAAACATTGTACAGTCGGTTTTCCAACATCAAATGAAAGTGTCTTCATGCAAGTTTTGCTTTCAACTGCATTATATAAGTTGGATCATTAAAGATTGCCAAAGTCTAAAAAAAAGGATAATCCCTACCTACCGACCCTAATTTTTGCAGGACTGAAACAGGAAACACAAAATTTTTTTCTATGACTTAGCTAAAGCCTTTGGACCTAGGAAAAAATGTTGCGTTTCCCATTTCATAAATTGACATTGATGAAGAAAAGTACTAATTTAAATTAAATCGAACAGTCTACACAAGTCACACTCAAAAAAAATGAAATTGAATTGTTTGTCTTATTATAGCTTACAAAAATGTATGTGTAATTTTTTCACAGGGTTGAAGGACTTGATAATTGTAGGTGGAAACGTGAAAGATTCGGACCCCTGTCTTCCCATGACTGATGAAACCAGAATGCACATCTCTGTCTGTCTCACCCGTATCTATGACGACTACGCCATTCACGACGAGGCTGTCAGGAGATTTAAGGACATCTGTCAGTCAACCGTGCAGTAAGTTCTTATTTGATTACTTGAAGTCTTATAAAACTGGTGTCAATTAAAATGAAAGCTTTAGCCTTGTGGCTTTGTAGTTTCTTTTGTGTATTCTGAAGGGAGTAATTCTTTGTCGAGAATAATAAAAGAATCATGAATGCATAACACATATTGCTTTGAACAGTTTTATAGATTTTGCAAAATTAATGAAAAAAAAAAACAACTTTGGTGTAGAATGGTCATATGAAGTGCAGTTTTCTTTCAACTGTTTTTGTAATTTTCCAGGTTCTAGTTTCTTTTTTCTATCATTTTTGTCCATATCACACACTCACTCACTCACTGTCCGGTTTATCGTCTGTTGTTCTCCGTCTTCCGAGGGTTAAACGTGCTTGCAAAATACAACTTGGGCTTGATGGTAGCTCGCCACTTGTCTCTATGTTACTGTGACAATTACATTTAGTAATACTATGATCATGCTAATTTATTATTGCTAATTTATTACATTTAGTAATACTATGCTAATATTTCATTATTGCAGAATTGTAATCCGATGATGTTGAAATTGTTTTCCAGAGGCTTGCTGGGAGAAGTAGAGAAGAGAGGAATGGTGGCAAACCTAGAAGCTATCCAAGCCCTCACCACTATTTTACATGTATGTTCTTTATATTCTAACTTTAGTGGAAGTACGACCATGATGATGATAGCCATGAAATCAATGATAGCCATGAAAACAAGAAATAGCCATGGCATGCTTTCAAGTACCAGAGTTATCAACCAAGGATTGAGGTGTTCAAAAACTCATTCTTTCCCTAAACTATTGCAGAGTGGAACTCACCATCACCAAGTACAGTAGGGGCATTAGATACATGTAGCTTTAAACAACGTTTAGAGTTAGATGTTAAGGGTTAGATGTAACAAGTAGTTTGGCGTAATGTAGCCAGCTGTCACTGTGCCGCGTGCCTGCGAAGCTGGAGTGTTACGCCAAAGGGTGGTTATCCAGATACAGATACATCAGATGATAATGATGTGTTGTTGTTTTTAGGGCCCGTTTGATGTAGGAAACATCATCCTGGGTATCCAGGCCATCATGAATAACATGATCGCCATGTGTGCAGTGGAAGAACCAGACATGCAGGTCAGAAACCTCAATCACTAATCTTTCTAAAATCAGGGGCAGTAATAATTACAAAATCCTACAACGTTAACATTGATAATGAAGGTTTCATTTGTCATTTAAAAGATCATAAATTTTATGTGTACTGTATATTTTCAGATAATTCCGTTATCTTTAATATATACTATTTAGACTCCTAGCACTTAGCATTAGAATATAGCGTTCCAGTATGCAATTATATACTCATGTTTTTTATCCTCTCAACCACATTTGGTCACATTTGTGCATTTAGCCCATCTGGGCAAGAACATGCAATAAAGATTCATATCATATCATATCATATTATGATTCTGTTATAACCTACATAACTTAAAATTTCAAATATAAATCCTTGTGTTGGAATACAGTTGAACATCATACTAACATTCTATGATGCTGCATTGATGCCATATGACATTGTTTATTATTGTTTAACAGATGATTGCTGTTGAAGCCATGATCGCTGCTATGTCTAAGAAAAATCGCTCCACGTTCATCCTAAGTCACGGGGCGGGGCTGCTGAAACAGATCTACAAGTCTGAGTCTGCCGACGCTCCCATTAAAGTCCGAGCACTGGTGGTGAGTAGAAAACTGCAGCTGCAGTACTAGTTTGACCTGCAAGGGGTCACTGCTGTGTTGTCTCCTTGTCAGCAAGAAGGTTGTGGTTGGCGATAACCTCCTTGTTGTCAGAAAGAGTTTTGGGATTTCTTGTTCAGAAGTCAGTGAGCACTGATGGTGTGAAATTGAGCAAGAAAAAAATAGCTGCAGTACTGTGATGACCTGCAAGGTGTGACTGCTGTGTTGCCCTCTTGCTGAGTGTCAGAAAGGGTATATGAAGTTGTTTAGAAGTTCATTATCTAGTAATGAGAGTAGAGCTGAAGACCTGCAGTACTTTATTGGCCTGCAAGAGGTCACTGCTGCATTGTACCTTTAAGTTACTATAGGACATGTTAAGGAATTGTTTAGAAAGAGTGATACAAGTAAGTATTGTGGATCGAGTAAATACAAAATATGTAAGTCTGTGACAGTGTGTCTGGACTTGAAGAAGAATATTCAGTGTTGCTATTTTTGTTCCCAGGGTCTGAGTAAGCTGGGTTCTATCTATGGTTCAGACGGCACCAGGAAGGCTTTTGCAGAAGGCTCCACCCTCAAGTTGGCCAAGCATTGCAGGAAGTAAGGAATTTCAATACAGTTATAAACTGACTGGATACTACTAAACTATTACTACTACTACTACTACTACTATGATCATTTGTACCACCTGTTGAGAATTTCCAATATATGGGCTGAAAATGGTTTTTAACTTGTCGCAGGAGGGCTCGAAATTCATTTTTGGGAATAGGAGCACTGGTGCACCCAACCTAAAAAATTAGGTGCACAAAAAATTTTCTGGGTGCACCATATAAAACAAAACCTAATTACAGATCTTGACTGCTCCTCTTCTGAGCTTGAATCTGAAATGGGAGCTAACTTCAAAATCCTAAACAAAGAATTTACTGTCTTATCTTTGTTGTTTTAGGTTTTTGCTGACTTCGAGAGAGACAGACTTGCGTCGCTGGGCTGCGGAGGGACTGGCGTACCTCACCATGGACGCTGACGTCAAAGAGTTCTTAGTGGACGATCCCCAAACTGTCAGGGCCATTGTGGAACTAGCAAAGGTACATTTTTGGTCCTTAGATGTAACGGGAGGGGTCCTAATTCCGACCTACATGTACTAGTATGTTCCATGCAAACGCACATGCCTTTGGTAATACAGTAGTTTATCTGACCAAAAATCAGCGCAACATAAGCTATAATATTGACAGATACAATGTAAAGATCACAACAATTTAAGCTGCACAGTTGTGTATTTTACTTCAGTGTAGCGCCTTGCACACAAGTGTAATGGTTTACGAAATTTATGGCAGGTTTTTGGTCATTTTGCTGGTGGAACGTTCTATTGCATCTCTACATTTTATTTTTGCATATCTATATTTTTTTCCTGGGCTGATGTCACCCAGTGAAGCTCAGGAAAAAGCGCAGAAATGCAAAAGTAAAACATAGAGATGCTCGAGGCAGGCAATTGGGAAGCTTGCCAGAGCATTTCCAAAAATGCACTTCTGAAGGGCCATACAAACTCAGTTTTTAAGTCATCATGATCAAAATCAACTTCTATTGTATGTATTGTATGCTTTTGATATTTACAGAGTCTGACTTTTCTGGTGTCATAAGGTCTTTAAAGCTGTATGCTAATGAAGCATTGTTTCCATTGTAACAGGCAGGCGGAGTGAACGTGGTGTACGGTGTCGGCACCACGCTCAACAACATGGTGAACGGTTACGAGTACGGGAAGGAGGAGGAACTCCCCGAGATGAAGAAACTGGCCAAGTTTGCCAAGCAGCACGTCCCTGAGCCTCATAAACTGGTCAGACATATAGAATTATACTACATTGTACATGGCATATATACAAGTATATCTTAGCATGAAAGTTCATCCGTGTTGGTACGAGTCATTATGGAATAAAGACTAAGCTTCAATTTCCAATTCACTTTGTAGTTAGTGTTGGAAATTGAAGCTTAGTCTTTATTTCATAATGGCGTATGTATAAATTATACAACTTACTGTATTGGGTGGTGTCTGGTGGCATAGTCACTGTGGTAGAGCGTTCGATTATGAAGAGGGAGACCCGGGTTCGATCCTGAGTTGTACCCAGGACATGTCTGGACATGGACTCATTACCTCCGGGTAGGGATGTATATCCCGAGCGCGGAGGTTTTGTGAGGGAAGACGAAAATTGCGTTCGCAGCCGTTTCTCGCGTTTGGGTGGACGGATATGTCTGGGACTTGGTATACGTTTTGCTGTTGGGCTGTAGATGGTGCACGTTGTTTTGGTTTTTTAGTATGTGTGTTTTAGTGCGTCAAAATGATGCGTTTTGAGAGCGTATGGACACCCCTTGTGTGTGAAAGTGGTTCTGTCTTCTGATTTTCGGCGTGTATTAAGTGTCGCAGGCGTCGTCCACATCTGGTGAGAGGGGTGTCAGGTATCGAGGAAAAATATTATCGCAGTTGTATCTCGCGTTGGGGTAGACGGGACCCATATGGAAATCCAGCTCCGAGTCTAATCACCCTTTTTTTTATAGGATGTTGCTTGGTAGTCGTAGAAAAAACGTAGAAAGCAGCGAAAATGTGCCTCTTCGCTGATAAAGAAATTCTATCGCGCTGCCGGCTCGATATCGCTTATCCAATCGGAACGCAGGTCATGAAAAAGAGGGCAGAGAAGAGAGGAAAAGTCTAGAGGAACTGTGAGTATCGAGCTCGTACCACATTCCTTAGTCTAGCCAGTCCTCCCAGAGGAGTCTTGCAACCTAGGCCTGTCCCAGAAACGTCAAGGTGCTAAGTAGGAGGACAGGATCTGACCAGGTCAAAGGTGCTAGAAGGGAAGCATCCATCAAGCACCATTTAGTGTCCACTTAGTACAGCTGAGCTTGACAGCTTGTAAACAATGGCGGAAGCCAGCTCACCAGGCCTGAAACCGCCAGGTTTCCTTGATCTAACAGCAAAGAACTTGGCTTCCACATGGCACAGATGGAAGCGTGAAAATGATGCGTTTTGAGAGCGTATGGACACCCCTTGTGTGTGAAAGTGGTTTTGTCTGTTGATTTTCGGCGTGTATTAAGTGTCGCAGGCGTCGTCCACATCTGGTAAGAGGGGGTGTCAGGTATCGAGGAAAGAATATTATCGCAGTTGTATCTCGCGTTGGGGTAGACGGGACCCATGGAAATCCAGCTCGGTACGCTGACTTCCGGGTACCACGGGTTTATTTTTTATCTGGCTCGAACATACAAAAAGGGCGCATAGAAATTGTACCCGAAAATTCTTTGAGTCTAATCTACCCTTTTTTTGATAGGATGTTGCTTAGTAGTCGTAGAAAAAACGTAGAAAGCAGCGAAAATGTGCCTCTTCGCTGATAAAGAAATTCTGTCACTCTGCCGGCGCGATATCGCTTATCCAATCGAAACGCAGGTCATGTGAGGTGAACCAATGAAAGTGTAGATCGCGCGCTGCTATTTACATATCAAAATGGTTTTGTACAGCGATGTGGAGAACACGTTTTTGCCAAGTTTTTTATCCCGGAATTTTCATAGTTTTGACTGATTTTTTTGGCACGCCGTGATTACGCTACAAATGACACACTAGAGGAGACAACAGATGAGTGATCATTTTACAATCGACAAGAACTTTTGATGAATGAAACAGGAATGAAACCTTGCTGATTGCGATTTGTTTTCGAAAATATTATTTTGTCTCGTGTTTGTAACGTTCGCTCAAAATGAGGTTCTAAGTTTTAACCGTAACATGAAAGATATGAACACGCTTCTGTGCATGTTTTGATGTGGTTTTTTTTGACGCGATTTGAACTAGTGTGGGATAAGTGGGGAGGGATGGCAGCCGCGGGGGGAAGTGTAGCGGCTTGATAAATTTTCGAGAGCAAGTTCCGCGCAATGGAGTTGATTTCTCACGCGGCCGTTTGTGTAGGTGTTTGTTTACATTATCGCTGGTCGCTGAGGGTCGGGCAGCCAGATTCGCCACGGGATGCCCCCTGTCCTTTCTATTTTTGGGCTCCAGTCGGCTAGGGGGGATTAGTGATTTCACAGATCATTTAGCCAATTACAAACATTTCGAAACTTTTCGAAAAAATGGTATTCGCGTGAACACACACACACCCAGATACCATTCACTAATTTAAAGAACAGTCCCAACATGCACCCAACATTCTGCAACATACATTACAATACCCGGAGGTACAAAATCTACGATTTTCCTTGTTTTCTCTTGAATTAAGTGGGGAAAGTCGTGTTAAGTGCCTTTCCCAAGGGCACAAGGTTGGTGCCATGTCAGGACTTGAACCCGGGACCTCTTGGTTCTGAGTCGAGCACTCTGCCGTTGTGCCACAAGATGACCACTGTTTTATTAGTCATTGAGGAGTATTTTGTTGTGTTATCATGAAAGTTCATCTGTGTTGGTAGTTACATGTTTAAAGTTAAAACTTTTGGTCCAACACAAAAAAAATTCTCTCACCTAGAGCTTTCGACCAGTCACTCGATCTGGTCTTCCTCAGTAGAGCCACGTGACAAGCCTCACTAAGTCAGTCTACTGAAGAAGACATATTTTATTGACGTGTACTTCAGGACTCTAAGGACCATGTGGACATGAGGATTGAGAAGTTGGTGAAGGAGGGCGTGGTGGTCAGTCTGGTCGCGCTGTCCAAGACAGAGAGTCACGCCGAGCGGGAACTTCTGTCCCGTATCTTCCTTGCCATTACGGAACGGGAGGCACACCGTGGGATCACGGTAGCACAGGGAGGGGCAAAGGTCAGAAATGGAAACACAGCTGACAGCCATGTTTTTTTACATTCTGGTATTTTGTGGTGGTGTCACTAAGGCCATGTTGATTTGATTATATGGATGACATCCTCCGGGAGCCCCAAAAATGATGCACGCGTGCGAATAAAAAAAAAGTTTTGCAAAAAAAAAAAGTTCTTTTCATTATCAAATCTACGTGGTCATGAGGGTTGAGCAAATGGCACAGAATATGGTTTGGCGAATAATCTAGTCTTCAAGTTCATTTCCTTACAATTTCGTCTTTTTTCGTTTGATTTTGGCATTCTACGACATTGGTATGGTTTTTATTAATTTTTTTTTGTAACATATGGTATATTTTTGCTCATTTTGCAACTGTTTTGTACGATTTACAGTATGGTTGAAAACTTTTTTTTTTTTTGGAAACGGCCGAAAATTCATGCGCGCGCGGATGTCATCCATATATTAATGAAATCAACATGGCCTAACTAAAAGTGCCTCATTTTTGCTGTTTTTTTAGAACTATAAATGTCAGGAATGTGAGATAATGGCACAAGTATTTTGAATATTGGAAGTAAATTATAAAAACATGAAAATTTTTGAGTGCAAAAATGTTGAGATGCATAATGCTCCTCTAATAGAATATTATATATGCTCTTTCCCAATGTAGGTGTTGATTCCCATGGCCAATGAGGGTTCAGACAAGGGGAAATGGTTTGCTGGCCAGGCCTTGGCTAAAATCGGCATCACTACAAACCCTGAGATCGCCTTCCCTGGACAGAGGGTAGGTTTTCCTTTTGTTTTCAAACATGTTTATTAATAATCTTTCTATAGTATGCCTGTTGACAAGCATATCTGTTTTAAGATCAGTGATGGCCAAAAATTTGCATGTATGAGCATAACAGCAGAAAATGGTCTGCTGAGGTGAAGGCATGCTTCTTTACTGACTATTATCTGTTAATCACTGTCCTGTTCCAAACACATAAGGTCAATGACCTGGACCAGGTGTCTGTCACCATGGTAACCAGTGCTGTAGCAGACACCCTGTGGTGTTGGGTTACATTATGTAGTAAGGCAGAGCTGGAGGGGCTGGTCATCATATATTATGAAATGTGTTTAAGTAAGAATAAATAGAGCAGTACTTTGTTGGGCTAGGCAATATGAAGGTAAAAACTATGTATTTGCTTTGCTTTCTAGTTTCTAAAAGTGTTTATTGTTATTTAGGCGCTGGAGATGGTTCGTCCAATGAAAAAGCTTCTGGACATGGATGCTTCGGCGTTGCAGAACTTTGAAGCCCTGATGGCGCTGACAAACCTGGCCAGCCAGAGCGAGAGTGTGAGGTAACTACAGGAGGCTGAGAACACCCCTCTTTAGTAATGGGATATTCTGTGCACTGTAGACAGTCAAGGAATGTTAGGACAGTACCACTTTTTTTAAGGGTAACATGCATTAACACTTTTTTGTGTGTTGAATACTGTTGATAATATCAAAATTTATGCAAAACAAACATGATGATGTTTTCTGTGGGACTACATGCATAATCGTGTACTGGATAGTAACACCATCTTTTTGTTGTTTTTGTAGGAGTCGTATCTTTGAGGACAACGGTTTTGCCCTGGTTGAACACTACATGTTTGAAGACCATGAACTGTTGAAGAGGGCCGCTATACAGTTGATGTGTAACTTGGTGTCAAGTCCAAAGGTATGTAATATACTATATGGCCATGACTTAAATATCTTAACAGGGGATGCCCTTTCTTTATTTCTTTATTTGAATTTACCACATGCAAAAACAAGTGGAAGGGAGGACAAAACAGGTGTATCAACGCCTTTACAAGTTGTCCTCCCAAATCTAACTGGAAACACTAAAACTGAAACTTTTTTGGGCTTTTGAAGACACATTACTCCATTCATAATACTTGTGTGTAATTTGACACATATATATAATTAACATTAAGAACATATTTGAATAATAAAATACATATTGTTTGTTGCACTCTGAAAATGCATATTATTAACAATTGGTTAAATGTGCGAGATGGTTTTGAGAATGTACACAACTACAATGTAGGACTGTTACAATGTACCTCATGCCACACTTGGCCGAGAGGACATCCCTAACCAAAGTTTGGTACTCATTTTCATCCCAGTCAAGTGAGGAAATAGTTGTTAAGTGCCTTTCCCAAGGATGCAACAGGGGGGCCTGCTAGGGATTCGAACCCAAAACCTTCATATTTCGAGTCAAGGGCTAGGAAAAAATATGTTGTATTTTTCGACCGACCCTAGAAAAAACTGCCGACCCTAGCCTTTTCAGGGGTGGATCCCTGCAAGGGACATCAATTTTTCAAGCTGATTGACCATTTCTAGCTCCATGATCTGACACCTGAGTGATGAAATGTTGTACAATCAGTTTTCCATGTAAAAAGTTCTTAAAATATGACTCTTATCCGTGACCTCTACCCCTCCACTTAGACCTTGTTGAAAAGTGGCCATGTAGGTCGAACAAGCATTTCGAAGTAACATAAAGGCATTGACTTGACTTGACTTGTTTTCCATCCCCAGTGGTTGGAGAAGTACAAGTCCACAGGGAACGACAGGCTGAAGTACATTGTGCTGTTGTGTGGGGAGGACGACTTTGAACTGGTGAAGGCAGCAGCAGGCACGCTGGCCCAGCTCACAGCTCACAAGGACATGTGTGAGAGAATACCAGACGAGGTGGGTACAGTATTGCAAACAAGTGCAATAGCTCAATTTTTCGAATGCTCACTTTGTAACTGGGAGATCGTGAGTTCAAATCCTGGCCGGGTCATACCAAAGATACACAAAGATGGTACACACTTCTTTCTCTGCTTAGCACTCAACACATATGAGAAAGAGTGTGGGAAGGTCAAACACACAGCACTACCAGCGGACTAGCCCCCTGCTGTAGTGCCTTATCGCCCAATGGCTATGGAAATGGAGACGTGCACCACCCCTATGCTCTGCATAGAGTGGAATGGGACCTTTTTTGGGTACAGTGTTGGTGATCTCCAAGCAGATCCTAGGGTGGCAAAAGACAGTATCAAATTGGCCAGGCAGTATCCATTGGCCCGAGATATATAAGCCACCCAAGGTACCCAAGGATAGCCTCCTTCGCAGACTTGTTGGGGGTCAGCGTTATTTTTTCCTGTGAGCGACGCGAGTAATATGCCGCGGAGGGACGGTTTGCTGCCAAGGGAGCGCGAAACCTTCTCTCCGTGGCAAAAACTCCCTTGGCAAAGGAGGCTATCTAAGGATCTTTAGAAAGTTTCAAGCATCAGTGTATCATTAATGTAAATCACTCCAACACATTACAGTTGTTCTACAAGTATGTGTGAACTGCAAAGCGCACACGCTATAGTCAAAGAATGAGATCTCACCAGTGTCACTGACGAAAGGTTACCATATAGTGGATGCTACCTGAAACATCTGACCGTTTCCAAAATCTATCTAGGACTGGTGCTTTTTTTACCTGGACATCTTATTACTTGGATGTCTAGTCTTCGTCAATGTATTCAGCCAAGACTTGCTGGATTATTAAACATTACTGTCACAGTTTGGTCACTAAAAAGAAACTTTTTTTTAACCCTGTTCCTGCCCCCCTCCCACAGGTGAAGTCCTGGGTAGATATCCTGTGTGAGGTCGGTGCCTCTCCCCTGCCAGACATCCAGCATCGCATGATGGTCGTCATCGCTAACATGATGATGGCCAGCAAGGAACTCGCTACCAAGGTAGGGAACATCTGTGGTTCTCTATATGATTTTGTAGTAGTAGTAGTAGTAGCTACTGTTACACAGTTGTAATTACTGTAGTTAGTAGTACATAGTATTATGTGGTTACTGTTACTGTAGTAGTTACTGTTTCACAGTTACATATTGTAGTAGTAAAAACTGTTACAGTAACTGTTGTTACAGTTATTTCAGTAGTCCTAGTAGTAGTAGTTTCATATAGGGACTAAAAGCTTGTCAGTAGCCTTGTTGAATACTAGTACATTGTAATTGAATAGTAGTTTGAATGCCCAGTCATTCATGGTGTCATGTACAATGTATAATTTTTTATATTCAGTACCTATAATATACTATAACAGTGAAGTCCTTACTGATATTCTGTGCAATTATATCACTCATCACTATCCGTTTTACGTGCATTGTTAATTGAAAATGATTTTTGTTACCAATGTATCATCCAGAAGATTAATTTGACAAAAGTGAGAAAAAAAAGCTCATTTTCTAATGGATATTGGACTTTTTTTTACTAAGATGATAGATTGGGTGACATTGAGTGACAAAATTCTATCAAATGGCAGAAAGATGTACACTGCCTAAAACACTGTCCAGAAGTTTGAAGTCTACATTTTTTTTTTTGTTCCAGATTGTGGAGACGAAGATCCTGGACGTCGTGATGGCGGTACGCATCTCGCTCAAGGACGACGCTGACCCGACCAGACAGAAAGTCAGGAAGTGTGTGGACATGGCCCTGAGAGCAGCGACAGACTTCGGCCTCATCAAACCTGCCAGCAACTTGGAGGAACAGGAGGCCCTTCCTGCATCTGCAGAGCTTCTCAACGCAAGCTAGATCTTCCTACAAACTCTCATGCCACCCCCCTCCCCACCATCTGTACAGAATAAAATGTAGATCTATAGTTAAAGAGTTTGACTTGTTCCAACACAATAAGGAGAACTCACCATGCTTGTGTTGGAACAAGTCAAACTCTTTAACTATGTATTCTACCAACACAGATGAGCTTTCATTCGAAAATGTAGATCTGTTTAACTTTCAGGGATTGCTAGAACTGCTTACGTCACAGGGGGGACAATTCGAATTGAACACCGCTCTACATGTAGAACCTGGAAATTGAATGCGGCTTTTGCTTGTGGTGTCCTCCCTGACAGATCACTGTGATAGTCTGCATTCTGCTCTCAGATACCAGAATCGGCTATCTGGTGAGATTGGGTGGAAGGAAACAGAGGACAGACATCCAGCCATCAGTAATGTGCCAGGGCGGACAACACAAGCAAAAGTTGGTTCTAGAATGGTGTTCTATTTGAAATGTCACCCCAGCCTGTGACGTAAGCAGTTCATGCAACCAGTGACAGGCAGACAAGTCTATTGCAGTGAAGTTCAAGTCCACTCTGTAAATCCAGTAAGGACTTTGTGATATTGTTTCAATATACAATAAAAAAAGATATCAAATATGTCTTTGTTTCAAGCACTGTCAAATTTTGTATAACCAGAGTCTAATTTGATATTAACTAGTTTCAACCACGGATCAAGACAGTGGTGTGCTGTCCGCTTCTGCATTGGTTTGCAATTGACCAATTTTTCAGGGGCAGATCTACTTATAACATACATGTATGCACCAGTAGTACATGTAGTATATTAAGAATGGCCATACCAGATGGTCTCCTTGTCTTAAAGTCTGTTCTGAGAGGTTGTATTCCAGGGTTGGACAAGTCCCATTGCCCACTTGCCCGGGGCAAGTAAAAGTACTGTTCGGGCAAGTAAATATCCCCCAGTACTTGATTGGGCAAGTACAATTTTTGGATGCAAAGTATTAGCCCCTGCAGTATTTCAACCAAGTTTCAAACAATTTTGATAAATAAAGCATCCAGCATTATAAACTCTATAATGAAATAATTTCTTTCTGCTAGTAAAATGCACAGAAATGCGTTTTGGGCAAGTGAAAAGTTGGTTCGGGCAAGTGGAAATGACCATCTACTTGCCCGATGGCAAGTGGATTTTTGAAAACTTGTCCAACCCTGTATTCTGGCTGAGGAATTGGGGATTTCAAACTGAACCATGATAGTGTAATTTCAATGTACATGCTGAGGTTAAAACGCATTTATGTTAAAGAATGTGAATCATGGAGTGCCTTAAATTTACCTTATATCATGTACATGTAATGAAACTTTCCTTCCAAAGATATTCCACAACAGTTTTATTGAATCTTAAACAATCATGAGTCAGACTAGTCCTGTAATTTGCATGAATGAAATGTAAACTACACTGTATGTAAAACAATGTTCCTGTAATACTGTGTTATATACTGACCCTTTTGAATAAGAAAGTTACTGACGGTAATAAACAAACAATAAAATAGTCACACCAGACTTGTGTAATATTGTCCCTTGTTAGTGTTGTTAGCCCGACTATACCTTTTGACAGCATACACGATTCTGTATCTGTATCGGTATAGCCCTTCAGCGTAACACACCAGCTTCGCAGGCACGCGGCGCGGCGGCAGCTAGCTATATCACACCGAACAAACTTGTTACAATCAATCTTTGCATATTTAATTGCAGGAGTTGTTTAAAGCTTTCTAGTGATGATGCCCCAACTGTGCTTGGTGGCAACGAGTTCCAGTCTACGATAGTTCTGGGGAAATACGTGTTTTTTAATACCTCAATTCTTGGTTGATAACTCTGATATTTGAAGGCACAATTATACCGTATAAGACACCAATAATTATTATTACTGAATTAGGTACATGTAAAAGTGTGTAGATATAATATTTCCGCTTCTGTTGACTGCAATAACACAGTGTTAAGCAAAATACAATGTTTATGAGGGAATGCCTGCAGTGTTGCGGTGGTTGCGGAGAGCGTTAGCGTACCAGTCCAGCTGACTGATCAGACGGTCGGCGCCGCGCTCCATGTGGTCGTTCAGCGGCTCTCCGTCCTCAGAAAGACTCTTCTGTTCCGCGGAAAAGGAAGTGATCTTATTATAGTCACTCAATCTTTGACTGAGGCCACACTGATTTAATTTTATGGATGACATCTGTGCGTGCATTGATTTTCACCTAGTTCTCAATAAAAAAAAAACCTCTGAATTCTTGAATACTGTAAAACTGTACTGAGTTCTTGAGTTCCGTGGAACTGGCAGCCTGTGTGCCATCCTGCACAGTCCATGATAGCTTAAGCGACAATAGGGAGCTGGCGGTAACTATATAACGTTATATATGGAGGATGGCACCCAGGCTGCCAAAACTCCACAGAACTCAAGCACTCAGTGCAGTGCCGACTCATAAATGCTGCAAAATAAAGGCCAGCATGTGCCGGCTTGTCATAAAGTGCATGCATGCACCACACCCCAAGTTAAAATAATTTTGAACGACTTTTGATCATGATTTGCACACATGAAGATGAGAAGTTATTCGAGATCTGTATTGTGTAGCAGGTACATTCAACATACCTCAAACTTGGACTATAGCTAGAGTAACACATGATTTTTACTGTTCGCACATGTTATTAATTTAATAGGTTGAGGTGGTAGGGGGGTGAAACCTACCTGTGCCACAGGAACACCAAATATGTTGGAGATACTCAGCATCCCCAGTTCTCCTAACATGGCTCTCAGCTGCATGGCCGCACGCATCCCACCATACTGACCTTCAGAATTAGAAGGTATCAATATTTATTTACTTATTTATTAGAATTCACCACAAGTACAAACACACAAGTGGAGGGGAGGACAAAACAGGTGTGTTGACACTTTTTCAAGTTGTCCTCCCAAACACAACAATATAAATACAGTGCAATACAAATTACGGTGTCAAACAATTGTTGACTGTCACATGAAATACAAATTCCTACAATAACATACATTAGTCATTAAAATACAATACAATACACTGCCATAAAATATCTTTCATTATATACAATTGTAAAAATAATAAAAAATAGTAATATTAATAATTATACTAATATAACTATTGAAGTATTTTTGAAGCAGGACAAACTTTATGCATGATTCCTTTTTCATAGCTAAAACTTTAAATACTGCTTAGCAAATTGTGGCCTCCAAATGGCTCAAATCGTGGAGGTAGAAAATTGTGTGATGAATCCTTACTCACCAGCTGAGTAGGTGACAATGCCGGAAGGTTTAAAAGCGTAGGCTGATCCTCCGAAGTGGTCTAACATGTTAGACAGGGCAGGGGGGATGGAATGGTTGTACTCAGCAGACACAACAACATACGCATCTGCCGCACGGATCTGAACAGGGATTTGTAAAATAACACCAAGTTACCAAGTTTATTTAGTAAGTTACTGTAGAAATTATTAGAAGTTATTCCATCTTTCAATGCAGTGGTATCATTAAAAGTTCATAATTCATTGTTTAAATTTTGAACCAGCCTGGCGTGTTGACTTCATGGCTCCTGTCGTACCATTTTGGGCCATAATAGGATGCCTAGGCCTGTTTTTATTTTTATTTTTTTTGCCCGCCCGCTCCATAATTTTTCTAGAAAAATCCCTTAACCAAGAAATTAAATTGGTGTGGCCATAGCGGGACATGATTTTCTTGTTTTTCACCTGTTCATCTGCAGTCTTGAGCCAGTCTGGAATCTCTGCCTTGTCTCGGTACATGAAGATGGGTTTATGGAGCAGGGTGAAGGGCATCTCAACCGGATCTGAGAACAGGAGGATAACAGGATAGAAAGAGCACAATGTCAGTACAATCATGCACTCAGCACTAGCAACAGCTTGTCTATCAATCTAACCAGTGCAAGGTGTAACATGTTGTTTGGTGTAATGTAGCCAGCTGCCACCGCGCCACGTGCCTGCAAAGCTGGTGTGTTATACGTATCGAAGGGCAGTTAGACCGGCTAACAGATACAGAAGCGGGTGTGTTAGACCGAACGGCGGTAACCAGCTTTAGTTAGTTATAATATACAGAAACAGAAGCTCATATATTACACCAAAGGGCAGTTAGACCGGCTAACAGATACAGAAGCGGGTGTGTTAGGCCAAAGGGCGGTAACCAGCTTTAGTTAGTTATAATACCCGGTATACAGAAATAGAAGCTCATATATTACACTGAAAGGCGGTTAGACCGGCTAACAGATAGATTTAGCTGGTGTGTTATGCTGAAGGGCGGTTAGACCGGCTAACAGATACAGAAGCTGGTGTGCTACGCCAAAGGGCAGTAACCAGCTATATACAGATACAGATAGATCACAAACTCACCAAAGAATGACACCTCATAGCCCTTTTTCTTCAGCTGATTTAACATGAACTTGGCGACGCGTAGGCCCAATCGACCTTCCCGCACCGAGCCAAGAAACAGCACGACTTTCAGTGGGGTTGACATGGTGTGTCTGTCAGGGAAAAGATATGCATTAAGTAACAATACTACCTACCTAGCCTATACCTAGTCCCTTAGGGTTTCTCTTTTTAGCGAACGCCCACAAACGCCCAGGAATTGTCGCACAAAGCTGATATCATGGATTCGCTTCAAACTTGGTCCGAACATGCGGGAGCACACTCTGGACATGACCACACACACACACACAAAAAAATAAAGATTCGTGCGACAATTCCTGGGCGTTCGCTAAAAAGAGAATGCGGTCCCTTAACCTAGTTGGGGGGACAAGGTAAATTATTGAAAGGAATTATGCAAGGACATGTTGATTTGATTATAAATATGGATGACATGAATTTTCAGCAGTTTCCAAAGAAAAAAAGTTTTCAACCATCCCTGTAAATCGTACAAAACAGTTGCAGAATGAACATATAACTTAATACCATACTAGTATTGGTGCCAAAAAACAATATTGAAAACGATACCAATGCCATAAAATGCCAAAATCAAACAAAAAAGACGAAGATGTAAATAACTGAATTTGAAGAGTAGATCATTTGCCAAACCATACTCTGTGTCATTTGTTCAACCTTTAGGACCACGTAAACTTAAAATGCAACAAGAAGGTTGAATAAATATTATAAACACCTCATTGTAGTTGTAAACAAGTTACAACTTTCAGAGACGCCATGGTTGATTTGTTACAAGTTTGGGAAGAAAACAAATTATTCCACAAGTAAACTTACGTGTTCAGAAGTCAGTATACGTCTTCGTTAGACCAGGACTGGTACAGGTTCTGGCTCCTTTCTTATGTCTTTCTCAAAATCTTGCAACTGGTCTGATCCCAGATTCGAGGCCCGGGCCTTTTCAAATGTCAACTCACTTCCGGGTTTGACAGCATCAGAACAAAGTACATTCAAAATTAAACTTCAATTTCTATATCCCACACAATCTCTGTAGTGTAGTGACTTTTTATATTAATTAACAACATTAGTTCAAGAAAACATGCAACCATAAAATATTGAGATTTGGGCTGAAATGATAATGCAGCTATTGACTAAACCATTACATCGTTACGTTTTGCTGCGGTCTTTGGTATGCGTATTATGTTGGCTGTTTATATGCACAGTCATGTTGAGGGGGCGTGGTCAGTTAGTTTAACCTTGGTATGTTTTGCAACGTCATGCATTGATGTATGTTACCTGTACATAGAGAGAATGTTTTGCAAACTCATGCAACTAGGTACAATAATTAAGGGTTAATGTCCCGCCCCGAGGTGAATATGGTGTGATAAAGCCTTGTCAGTTGCTATAACCACCGAATAAAGCCACCAAGTGAGCGCAGCATAACAGTGCGGTAGTATCGGACCGTTAGCCGTTTTCCTTTGGCAGCCGAGAGCCCTTTGCCCGCCTGCCTAAATTAGCGCTACGGGGGAGTTGAGCCCGAGGGGTTTGTCCGGCCCGGGCTAGACTCCCCCGTAGCGGTAATTTACACCAGCGGGCGAAGGGATCTTGCGGCCCGGAAAACGAGTTCTGGATTCCAGGGTAGCAGTGCGGTGTATTAGCATGACATTGTGTAAAAAGTGCAGTGTCATGTACAGGTGGATAATACTTAGTTTCATAGGGTGTCTTGTGAAAAAAAGTTCGCCGTAATACCATAAGGCCACAGCATGTAATTTTTATGGATGACATCATTGCGCATTAATTTTCGCTTGATTTTGAAAAACAAAAGACAAATAAATAAATGTGGTGTTCAAAAAACCCGCCTCGGCGACGTTTTTTTATTGACTACATGTAACTCATGGCCGGACACCAAGATATTAGGAAGAACATAGGAAGACATTATAGGTCTCTCTATCGATGTTACCAATGAGTTAAATGTGTGTACGTACTTGTTACGTGCTTGTTATCTGACAGGAAAGCAATTGATATCCATGGTTGAGGGGTTTTAACATTAGTGATCTAATTATTTCGATTTTACAGGGGATATGATGATGAAAGCATTACGTCCCAAATTAATTTTTCTTCGGTACAAGTTTGAATGTAAATCAAATAAAAGTTCTATTTCTTAGAATAGTTTGTAGACGTGTAGCCTCTACTGGTACCAGGCTTGTGGAGGCGGCTGGAAAGAGTAGAAATCGGCCAAATAGAGAGATAAGTATGCTAAGGGAGTTTGTCCGTTGAGAGAACATTTCGCCGCACCCCAAATGTTCTCTCAACGGACAAACTCCCTTGGCATACTAATCTCTCTATTTGGCCGATTTCTACTCTTTTCAGCCGCCTCCCCAAGCCTGGTAGAGGCTGGTAGACGTGTATCATTTTTGGTTTGTTCAAACTATATTCACGGTAAACTTTTGTAATCTAAAGGACGGTGCTGGTTTGGTGCAGCTCTGTTTCCCACAGCGATCTTCAGTAGACTGATAATAGGACTCTCCACAAACACAAACACCAGGACTGCCAGGCCGTACCCTAGCATGAGATGTCCCAGGAACAGGTGGATCTATGCAAGCAAATACAAACACATGTACAGTAGAGTAAAAGTGGTGACTGTGGGGTCGTGTGGCGTACACAACGGCAGAGACTGCTAACGACTCGGAACCAAGATGTCCGGGTTCGAGTCCTGACATGCCACCTACCTTGTGCCCTTGGGAAAGGCACTTTACACGACTTTTCTCGGTTACCTTACTGCCCTGTAAATGTATTCGTCCTCTGTGTTGGTGGTGGCATAAAATTTGATATAACGTAAGTTGAAAAAAACTTGAATGTGCCGTCACTATATATATAGACGTCTTGTGATTACATGTTGGAATAAAAAAAACCTCTGCTTGGAGAGTAGTTAACTGGCTATTATGCTATGCATATATTCTACACCAAACGGAACTATGTCAAAGCAGCAGGGTATCTAGAAGAAGATATTCTCCACCATCACGCAGCAGTTATTGTACTGAGTTAGAGATGTACGTACCATGTTGAAGGTGGTTAGGTGTATCGTACTCTCGGCAGTGTGGTACGTCAGGTACATGACGATGGGATGTATGAGATAGGCGGAGTACGTCAGACGACTCAGGGGAACCCAGACGTTCCAGGACAGGATAGTGTTCACCACACCTGTGTTTAAATGGTGTAGGTGGATACTCATTTACTACCAACATGCGTTAGCACACTCGAGGCATTTTTAGAATAGTCATGTAAACGGACAGTGAGTGAGTGAGTGAGTGAGTGAGTGAGTGAGTGAGTGAGTGATGTAGGAACAAGATACATCCAATAAAATTTCAAAGCAAATCCATAATGTTTACCTTTGCATATGGTCTGATCTGCTAATTCTTACTCAAACACATTCATATATATGGTGACAGGAGTCCCTCCTGCTATAAAATTGCAACATGGTGTAACCCAACACCAGTTACCATGGTGACAGACGTCTGGTTCAGGTCATTGACCTTATTTGTTAGGAGAAGAAGAAACAGAGCAAAACATTATGTTTTCCTTATGCAACACTAATGAGACGCTAATAAAACAAACAAATAGACAAACGTCATTACTAGCACCTCCGTATCCATGGTAACAGGCGACGACCATCCAGCCAATCGCCATGGCCCAGACAACCCGGTGCACGGTGACAAAGAACAGGTTGCCTGAGTAGGTGAGGACTGCCCCGTTGTAGACTCCGTACATGCCGTACACCACGGCAAGGGCGGTCGCTGTGGCGGTGCACCAGCCGATACAGACTAACCACTGAACAAGAAGGCGAAGATTTTATACATTCGTAAATCTATTTAAAGTTGTTAAATTCATATCCCATGTTGATTTGATTATATGGATGACATCCGTCCATGCATGAATTTTCGTCAACTGCCGGGCCAAGTTGTGAAGGCCACGACAGTAAAGCCTTTAAAGGCCAAACAGCAGTCGCCCTGCCATAGCCGCGCACCGCTCCCCCTTCCCTCAGCTATACCCCAGGGGTGTTCAGAGGGTACTGATTTACTCTATATTATATGTATGTCTTTTGGATAAGATACAACGAATGCCGTGATTGTAGAAGGACTAACATGCTGCCAACAGCCTACCGAATTCTGTCAGGTGATTACTCGTTCTCTGGCTTCTCTTTATCATTTTCATTAAGATGTTCTTTTATGTACTAATGTTAACAGAGTAGTAATTTCATGGCCAGATAATTAGATTAATAGGACCCATTACGTCACCGATGCCTTCTGGTGAAATAGGCAGATCAAACGTGAACATGGATTTGGGTCATGGATATCACCCCTATGTGTGCGGGACTGGTAGAAACCAATGGATCACCTTTTGCAAATTGCATTTTGGGTTAAAAGACACCAAAACTGGATCTGGAGGGGATCAGAATCTTGGATACCGAACAGGATTACTTCAAGAGAGGCCATATACATCAGGGCACTTCAACCATCGCTCAACCGGGACGGGGGGCGATATCGACTTCAGACAACCTTTGACCCTTTGCTGACGTCACACGTGGGGAAATCACGTGTCCACAGCATTTGGGTCAGATAGCTGAGGAAGACTGAGTGGTTCAGTCGAAAATTCCGGTGAGTTAAATTTTGAGTTGGAGAACAGTTTAAATTTTTCATAATGTAATGTACCAACTTAGATGAACTTTCATGCTGACACCAAAACTGGAATTACTATTATATTTGTCACTTACGAAGAAGAAGAAGAAGAATGCGCTTACCAATACCATCTTTTCATCACGTTTGTTCTCCTGACGCATCTCTCTCGTCTTGTACAAGACCCAACCGACCAACATGCCGACAAGGTACGGACCAATCCGGACCCAGGGTTTGATGTAGTACTCCGTGAACTTAGGGTCGGGCTCATCTCTATTTCTTCGCTCTTGCGCTCTTCCCAAATGAAACGTAAAAGACGGGTTCATTTCTAATGTACATTCAGCATTATTAACTCTAAAATAAAATAATTTCTTTGCACATAAAATGTCATGTGTATTTTGGGCAAGTGGAAAGTTGGTTCGGCCAAGTGGAAATGACCATCTAATGCTTGATAGGGCAAGTCTCGTATATGAGTATAATCTTAAACTTTTTAAGTCCAAGGTCAACAAACATCTGTCTTCACTACCTGTTCAGTAACCCAAATCGTGGCTCCCATGAGCCTTGTTTAGTAATGAGCATGAAGTAAATTGTAAAGAGTGAGTTTGTGGGAACTTGTCCAACCCTAAGAGACTCACTCGGCAATGAAGAAGTCAACCCTGATGTCATATTCCACTGCTACCACGGCCGTGGCAGCGAAGTTGGCCAGAAGAAGGGCCAGTTGTCCTGCAAGGCCGACGTACCAATACCTATGGACAGAAGCAAACTACTGTAACTAGAGTCGTGTACCTAAACAAGTGTTAGTATCGCAAAAACAATTGACTCGGGAGTACTTTTTTTGGGGGGAAGTCTCAGGGAGGAGCCTAATGGTACAGTATTGTGTGCAGGCATTTTGTCCACAAGAATGGAATGTCCACAGGCACATCTCTGTCCCACATCTATGCCCACATTCCTGCAAACCCTTGGGAAGACCTGTCTGCCCCTGATGGCCCTACTTTCTGTGACCCCGGGGCTCGTTCACTATACACTCAGGGGAGGAGTGCACTGTATCTGTCTAGACTTAACATGTACCAAGTCTTCCTCAAAATCATTAAATGATGGCAGTGCCATGCAAACAATAACCCTAACAGCAACCATCGTCGCCATGGCAACGTACGTTTACATTGCCAGTCTTGTTTACCAATAGTTCAGCGTGATCTCACCTGTAGAGGAGGTAGACTATGGGAACCCCGATGATGAAGAATTGCATGTCGTTAGCCAGGTACCACGTGAAGTCCAGACACTACATATTACATGAGAAATAAAAAAAAAGTTACATAATGATCAACGACCTGAACCAGACCGTCTGTCACCATGGTAACTGGCGTTGGGTTACATTATGTTGCAATTTTATAGTAGGAGGGATTTAGACCCCTGTCACCATATGTGTGAATGTGTTTGAGTTAGAATTAACGTATAATAGAGCAGAACATATGCGAAGGTAAACAATATGCATTTGCTTTGCAAATGTTACTTTTCAAGTTATGTTTACCGAAGGAAAACATTGGTTTTTGCTCTGTTTCTTCTTCCGTTTCAAACACTGACCTGGTCAATGACCTGAACCAGACCGTCTGTCACCATGGTAATTGGTATTGATATTGGATTCTAGAACGTGTCTTACTGCCTGGTCGTCACGGAGGAGGTTGTTTATGTAGAGGATGTTTTTCCACCAGTTTGTCCGGCAGCCCTCTAGAGAACTCAACTTTGAGTGCCACATGGGTCCCATAAACAGCTGAGGCAGCACCCATACCACCACCATGATCACAAACAGCAATGTTGGAGTCAGCCTTAAAGTAAAGGAGAAGGAAGACATGCATATATGAAGACAAGTCTTGTCTTAAAATTCATCTGTGTTGGTGCAAGTCATGGTGAATCACTAAGGCCATGTTGACTTCGTAATATTGATGACATCTACGGATTTTCGTCCGTTTCCAGAAGAAAGTTTTGACATATGCCAGTAAGTATCTTGGACAAGTAACCGTTACCTTACCTGAGGTATCTTTGGACGTACAGCATCAAAAATCTGATCGTTTTTCCTTCTTCTGATGACTCTTCCAATCGTTTCAACAAGAGATACGCCAATAGTAGCCCACTAGAAGCATACCCATAAAAATGATAACATTATGTTAAATTAGGACCATAATTAACACGGAATAGAAATTCACACATTGCTTTGAACCATAACTATACATAAGTCTGTGATTAATATAATGGACAAAGCTCTCATACGTAAAATATATGTTACTGCAAAAACAATTGAAAATACATGAAAATGTTACCAAACTGAATAAACTAGAAACAAATGTTACACTAACCCGAGAAAAAAGAATGTGTCCACCGCCAGAATGGTCTGGAGAACCACTTGAAATGTAAACGTTTTGACTATTTCAAGTAGCACCACCGGATTATCTAGGAAAAGAAAAGAAAAAGTTCAAAGTTACAGGGATATGAATATTTCAATCTTTACAAAACTCTCAGACTGACCTTGTATTTTTCAATTGCAACGTTAAGATTTATCAGAAAGTTACGGTCATCTATATCTACGGTCAGCTACTACGTCAGGGCGCACCCACCGGGACGGGAGGTGATACAGACTTCCAAGAACCTTTGACCTATTGCTGACGTCACACGTGCATGAAGTCATGGATTGTGTCAGACAGATGACTGAGTGATTCGGTCGATTCGATAATAATCTACTCAGTCGAAACTATTGGTAATTACCCAATTATGTCATCATTGGCATAATTGGTATCTGTTGAACTTAACTCGTCTTCCTAAGACCTACCAACATACCAAATATGATTACAATCCATAAAGGCGTTCTGAAGTTATGCTGACCACAAATTTAAAGTTGCGGAAACACAAACAGACAAACAGACAGACACCCCAAAAACAATGCCTCCATTTTTCATGGCGGTACATGTAATTACCAATAGTTTCGACTGAGTAGATGTACGTGTGACCCAAGATGACCCAGCTGAGACTGAGGAAGCGGATGCCGTGTAGACAGGGGATACTGCCAGACGTCTGCTTGGTGCTGAAAAGCCTCTCGAGGTTGTTATAGATGGAAAAGGCCAGAAGTAGTCGGCGGGAAATACCTGAATAATTATATCATGAACAAAGGATAGATCGCTGCCGATTAGTCATCACAATCCAGGGCTGAAAATTATTTTTTTGGCAGTAGGTGCACTGGTGCACCCATTTTTTGGATACATCATATAAGATAGAATAAATTATAGAATGCCAGGAAAAAACTGATCATGTTTTATTTTTAAAGAAAAATACTGCTGCAACACATATTTTTCTGACACAAGAATATGATGTATAGTAGCATAAATTAACATCTTTACACGTGTAATTTGGTGCATCAGTCACAGCAATAATGCCTGATTCTACTTCGCGCCGCTAGATGGCGTTGCAGTAGGCATGATGCGGTCGTAAACGTGACTAAGTTTGTACCCCCCCCTCCTTATCATGGTTCACAACTGAAGTTGATCTAACATTATTCCCTATATCTATAGCTTACCTTCTTCTTCAAGCGTAGCCTGTAGATTCTAGAGAAAAAAAAAGAGTACCATTTGAAAAGCAAATGCATAATGTTTACCTCTGAGTATTGTCTGCTCTGTTAATTCTTACTTAAGCAAAGGAGTCTAAATCCCTCTTGCTATAAAATTGCAACATGATGTAACCCAACACTATTTACCATGGTGACAGACCTCTGGTTCATGTCATTGACCTTATTTGGAAACAGCAAAAAACAATATGTTTTCCTTCGGGAAACACGATAAATGTGTATTAAGCTTGTTTGTTAATTCCTGGAAAATACTAAAAATTAAGAGGATTATGCAATTATGCTCCAGTAAATATATTGGAATAACGTACCTTCCGACTACCGTTTTTTCGAGGCCGTTCAATGATGACGTCATACAACGTACCAACCAGCTGCAATATGCAAAGTAATGCACAGATGAAACTGCAAACGGAAAGACAAGATGTACGTTTTTGTCTTGGGTAACTTTTATATACAAAATTAAACTATGGGGCACAAACACACACGCACACAATGCAACACACACATACACACACATGTACCTGTAAACACACATGTACACACACACACACACACACAAATGTACACACACACACACTAAAGACACACACACAAATATATAGACAAACGCACACACACATAGTTACATAAGTACATTGCAAAGAAGATTAAGAAAACGTAGATGCTTGTTAATGATATTTAGTGGTTAGGTAAGGAAAAGAAAGATGCCGGTCAAGTTCGATATTTTAATTAAAAGTAAAAAAAAGACCTACATTGCAGACACTGTCCCGGGGTTGATGGGCGCAACTTCCGGTATATAAGCCGTTATATTTAGGACTCTCCAATTCCCCATGTACCCGAAAAGAGGGTCTGGAAGAAGAAAAAACAAATAAGAACAAATACAACTGTGAGAGCATTTTCAAAGCCATTCATTTATTCCATCATTTTCATTTTCATCGATGTTAACGTCAGGTATTTATTCCGTGGCATATTTCGATTGGTGCTGAAATTGTGATTAACTGGCACATAACCCAATAATTACATAGTTTCATATTTGTCTATACGGGTGTTTAACCTAAGTATCGTATAGAGACATGTTACTTACTGTTCTCTAGCTGCAAAATGACGTCGTGCTCCGTGCACGAATCGGGGACGCACAGGCCGACTTTCAGGGAGATTTTGGTCTGGTATAGAACACAGCAACAAAATACAACATTTACTCTCAGTAACTTATTAGCGTGCCAAAAAAGGGTGTCATAAACGCTAGGACGCCATAGAGACAATTGAGCATTGGACAGTGAATATGCACATCAGTATTCGAAAAAATTGATACCAATAAGCAAGCTCCTAGTTTTAACTGCGCATGCATAGAGGGTAAAGAAGGCCCGTGAGACATTAAGAAATACGCCCGACATGGAAAACTAAATGAGCCTTATATTTGACCTCTTGCATGTGCAATCTAAACCGTGAACTAGTTAACTCTAGTCATGCTGTTGTAATGAAAAAAAAAAGTGATAAACCCCACCTGATCGGTTTGTTCTCTAAGAACTACACGTGTCAAGAAGTAAAACCTCACCTGATTGGTTTGTTCGGTAAGGATTAGACGTGCCAAGTAGTAATTATAAAGCCTCACCTGATTGGTTTGTTCTGTAAGAACTAGTTGTGCCAAGAAGTATTTCCCGTTGAAAGTTATGTTGTACTCTTCTGTAGTCACTTTGACGCACTGAGGATAACTGCCGAGCCAGTTCAGATTTCCGGTTAGTATACCACTCGGAGGTTTCCCACAAGCGTCAAGCACTAGATCGGGTAAATTAATTAAAAACTAAAAAGGTAACATTTGCAAAGCAAATGCATGTTTACCTTCGTATATGGCCTGCTCTGTTAATTCTTACTCCAACACATTAATATATGTGGTGACAGCAGTCTAAATCCCTCCTGCTATAAAATTGCAACATGATGTAACCCAACACCAGTTACTAGTACCATGGTAAGAGACAGTGAAAACAGCGTATATAGTGAATTACTTCCTGTGTAGAGCGTAGAGTTAGTAAATTACTGTATATAGCGTAGAGTTAGTGAATTATTTCCTGTGTAGAGCGTAGAGTTAGTAAATTGCTTACTGTGTAGTGCGTAGTTCTCCCTATGGAAGAGGTCTTCCCTATACTTCAACATGTCGTCTTCACACCGCCGACTCATGTTGGCGTTCGTCCAGATGACTTCGTGCCACTTCAGATCCAAGTTGGTCAGGATGTCCAACGCTTCTCTCTGCAGAGCGGCTTTCATTCTTTCCACTAGATGGTAGAAACCCTGGATTTGGTTGCCCCAAACATTTTGAGCACATACCACGCGTAGGGCCACCAGCAGGAAGCATAGGCCCAACAGTAACTTCATACTATTGAGGACAAGTGCTACGAACAGCAAAGAACTTATGACTGAATGTCGAAAAGCAAAGTAAGTAGCAAGATTGGGAATCCGACTCAAAGGCCATTGCTGCGCCCCTGTGTGCAAAGAAATATCTGGAGGAAATCACGTGGAACCAGGTACTTGCACAGATATGTAAATGCCACTATAGGAAATTGGTTGGAGAATCAAAGGCCATTATGATTGGCTAGAACACCAGACGGAGACTGACTGAATTATTTTTCTAACAAAGGAATTATGAGTATGGTATGAACGAATGGTAGGCTAAGGCCCTGTTCACACGGAAACACGTACAGCGATTCATCAGGTAAACCGCATTCCTCACGTCCACGTGGCACACGTTCCTTCAAAACCGTGCCCGATCACGATTCGCCTAAACTACATTCATTGTTGTTTCGTGAAGGTAGCGTGTTATCAATATTAGAGGTCAACGACCTGCATGCTGGTGCGTACCTCGCGATCGGCCGCATGCCGACGTGCTCCCACCAGAGGCGGTGAATCTCGTCCTAGAATTCGATCATAATCGTGTGAACGGGCCTAAAAGCGGGCGACTACTGGGTGATTTGCCTACCAATAATTTGCATATTTCTTCATATAATTTGCGATTACCTTTATGCAATGCACTTTCATAATTTCAGACAAAAAATATTTTATAACAGTTACTAATATGTCCTGAAGCTTTAAATGCTGAAATAAAACAATCTGATCTTTTGATAGCTAACCTAAAGTATTAACATACATGTATATTTCATGCACAGGACACACGAAAGGAATGCAACACAAACAGAAAATCAATGACATAATAGTAATTTTATTTATCTCTGCTCTGCTTCATGGTAGAAAGTTCTTATTCAAAAGAGGACCTTCTTCGTACTGCTTCTTAAAGTTCTTCAGCTACTTTGCACGTAAGTGCTCATTTGCATATATGGCCCCGCTACCACTACTCCACAGAACAGGAAATGATGTCATCCCATCTTGTGCTATCTAGTCCCTATGTCCACAGAACAGGAAATGATGTCATCACATCTTGTGCTCTCCAGTCCCCATGTCCACAGAACAGGCAATGATGTCATCATGTCTTGTGCTCTCCAATCCCTATGTCCACAGAACAGGAAATGATGTCATCACATCTTGTGCTATCTAGTCCCTATGTCCACAGAACAGGAAATGATGTCATCACATCTTGTGCTCTCCAGTCCCTATGTCCACAGAACAGGAAATGATGTCAGCACATCTTGTGCTCTCTAGTACCTATGTCCACATAACAGTAAATGATGTCAGCACATCTTGTGCTCTCTTGTCCCTATGTCCACAGAACAGGAAATGGTCATCACATCTTGTGCTCTCCGGTCCCTATGTCCACAGAACAGGAAATGATGTCATCACATCTTGTGCTCTCCGGTCCCTATGTCCACAGAACAGGAAATGGTCATCACATGTTGTGCTCTCCAGTCCCTAACGTCCACAGAACAGGAAATGATGTCAGCACACCTCAGCATTGCCTGTGGCTGTGTCCCCATTGGTGTTTCCAGATCGGACACCAGGAAGTTTTGGCCATCGATGTCCGAGAGTTGGAATGTTGCGTCAACTTCTGTCTTCTCGTACATCTTAAAGTGTGTCCGCTTTCCTTGAATGCCCTTAAGAAAGTGTAAAAAGCGTTCTCTGAGAAAGGATCTGTCTTCTTGTTCTTGTGAGAGTCTGTCATCATTTGTTGTGGATGTTGACTGCAATATGTCGTTGTTCTGTGTTTTGTCATCAACACCGTCCTCCATTTCAATATTATCTGTTCAGGAAAGTGACATGTTAAAATCAAAGTTTTTAAGCAACAGTTGTTTGATGACTAAATAACTAAAGTTAGATTTCTACCAATTTCTAAACTGTACATGTATCGTTTTAAGTTATAATGGCGTTAATGACCAACCAGAAATCCCCATCTTATATAACTAGTAGTTATGACGCCATAGCCTTACCAGTGGTGAATAATGATCTCAGATGTGGTGATAAACACCCCAACCAATAGGGTCCACCGATTCACAGTACCATGGGAACGTGATGAGCAGCAGACAACAATTTTGAATTTAGACAACTTTTGAGTTTGCAAGGAAGCCAGTACAGACAATGCGATCTAATCTCCAAGAACGTAAGATTTGGACTCGATACTGGGCGTGTGTGGTGCGTATGGTGTCATAAGCCCCTGGTCATTTCTTATAACAACCACTTACTTTTACAAATGTACACCGGTTCAATTGGCGGTTATACGACCTGAGGCTTAATTATATGACACCATGGCACCAGGTTTTACACCTTGAGGCGTTCAAAAAAGAATAACATGCAAAAGTTACAATACCGGTTATGTCAGAGTTACGTAGTCATTTAGTTTGAAAACGAGACACCTTACCTACTCACAAATGTGAAGATATACCAACGTTTTGAGACGTTTTTTGTACAAAATAATACACACCATGTGTCTTGGTCGATGTAGCTCACCTTTGACCCTGGTGATACCAATTCTAATAGGAATGAGGGAACCATTCAAGAATAAATGAACTCTCAACTAAGTTTACACGAATGTATCATACAAAAGCTAGATGATAAATTTTCAGTAAGATTTTTTATCAAGCTAAAATATTTATATGATTTTTCGACTTCAACATTTTCTCCTATTTTCTGTAGCAGTTTATAAAACACCCCATGGTTGTAATGTAGTCGTCTGAATCGATAACGAGGTTTGGGGTTACTGGCGGTCACAAAATGGCGGAACCGGTAAATCTCGGCTAAGATTTTGCTGACACACTTTCAGATTTCTCGCCTTTCCTGCCCTCCTGGTCAACCTAACCGCCTTCCCTACATCCCTGAAGATTTCTCACAACTTCCGAGACAACATGGCGGAAGGTTTCACGAAGAACGGCATGGAACCGATCGAATTCGACGACGTTCGGCTCGCTCTGGCCGGGATCAACTTGATGTTAAACAACGGTTTTCAGGAATCAGACATGCTCTTCAACAAATACAGGTAAAATATCACCCACAAATCCGTTTTTAATCCGCCTTTATCACATTTAATCCAGACGTATTGTAGAATATAGTCAGCTTGGTAAAATTCAATTTCATATTGTTTACATAAGACGAAACGTTCTAGATCTTTTGAAAGATTTGTTTGATCTTTTGACCCGACAAAAAGTGTTGCGTAATCCTTTATTTAGGCCAACTGACGTAGAAATAAGAGGTGACAAATATGTGAACAGAGAGAGAGATTCACGAAATGTATTTCTGTTGTTTTTGTTTGCTATATTATATATATATAGAAGTTGAATCGGTTAATTTTTTTAAAATAAAGTTGTCATCGTCTGTTGACACTTTGTCATGTGATTTTGATGTTTATCTATCGATTGAAACTGAGTAGGTTTTGACCCTATATCCGGTTGGATGTTCACATCTGAGAGTCAGCTAAACAACAAGACAGTTTGCGGTGTCTGTTATATCAACACTTCTTTTGGAGTTATAATTTGATTTTTAATTTTAGATAGTAGGACTGTTTTGGACCATTTTTTTGCTAGGTGTCAAATGCATTTAAGTCAGGATATTGGAATCAATGTGTTACCAGTAGTACCAAAAAAAAAAAAAGATATTGATTTTTATGTAGTATCCAGTTGAAAATTGATTAGAATTAGAGCAGGTGCTGCAGCCAGTTTAGGCCCAGGAAAAAAATGTTGTGTTTCCTGTTTCCCAACCGACACTAGAATTAGTAGTAGAAAAACTGACGATACTAGCTTTTTTTGTGTGGACCGCTGCAAGGAACATAAATTTTTTGAGCTGATCGACCTTTTCTAGCTCCATGACCTGACATCTGAGTTGTACAATAGTTTTTCCAACATTTACTTTGAAAATAAGTGTCCTCATTGAATTTTACGTTATTAAACTGTATTGTATAACTTGAAGTTGTTGTCGAGATCAGAAAAAGAAACAAAAAGAAGAGATAATCCCTACCTACCAACCATAATTTTTTTCAGGACTGAAACAGGAAACACAACATTCTTTTTCCAGGCCTTAGCCCAGTAGTCTATATGACAGAAAAGCCAAGCTATCAAAATTCAGTACAAATTGGGTCAATCCACTTGGAAATCAAATTCCAGTTCTGCCAACTCAACCAAAACAGTGGACAATATTGACTTTTTTACCGTCGCTTAATTCAATAGCTGGCATTTGGTGTCAATTATTGTTTATACTGCCATATAGGAGAGGGTACCGGTTCAGCTATTAAAACCTGGTCCGACTCGGAATGACATCCGAAAACTGAGTTCCAAAAAAAATCACGATCATGATTTAGTTCTTTTTTGGACTCATGTTACAAACATTTCTAATCACTATAATTTTTAGACATCTATCTTTTCTCCCTTGACATAGTTAATATGGTAATAGTAAACATGTAAATTGGTATATACATTGTTGCCTATTTCACTTGTGTAAGCAGAGATCTGTCATAATTTATATAATAGAAAGTAAGATACCTTTGAAGTCTTTATATGTACTATTTAAAATCACTGCTTGTTTGTAGACCAATAGCATTGTTCCCAGCTTGTCTCATATACGTCAATTTAGCTAGAAAATATGATTAGTATATGATTATTGAAGAACACAGATGGGGTATACACACAATTGGAATGTAGATTCAGGTCAAAAATCAATGTATTTTAGGGCAACAGCTTGTGACAGTCACAGCATTGTGTTTGGAGAGTTCGATTGATCTTTACGTCAAACCCAGGACCTTTTCAGGACATTTTTATTGACTGTCAATAATCACTCTCTTCTCCCAAATAAACAATAAACCCCCAGGAGTAAATGTACCCACAAAGAAACCTCCAAAATCTGATAAATACACCCATCTCTGGAATAAACATGAATATTTATACTTAAACTAAGTATGATATTTATACTTTGACTTAAAGGAAGGAATGAATATTATATATTTTTACTTTGAATAACGAAGGTAAAGAATGGAATGAATTAAAATTTGCTGATGATCAGATTCTATGATTTTCTCTTCTCTTCAGGCAGTACAGTCCACTGATGAGTGCAGGGGCCAGTTTTGTAAGCACCATGGTAAGTCCACACAGTGTACCTGAGCTGAATTGTTACAATTTGTCTGTTGTGCTCAGTGTACTACTAGTTTATGGTCACTTGGCATTTTAAGTGGAAAAAAATAAACATTGCAAAAAAAAAAATAGTTCTGACTGTAATCACTCTGAATTATGTTTGAAATGCAGCATAGGGTTGTGAATCACAGTATAGGGGTCTAAATCACAAAATAGGGGCCCCTATACTGATAATGCAAGCTTGAACACTGAAAGTAATGATATGTTCCATTTAAAATTAAATCCTGTCCTTTCTCTGCCTGCTCTAGCATGCTGTGATGACATTTGAAGAAGAGAAGATTGCAGCTGCCATGCAGATGTTGAAGTCGACCGAGCACCTCTGCACTACAGACGAGGGCTTCTTAGAGTCCATCAAGAACAAGTTAGGCAACAAGCCCGCGCCCAAGGAGACCGTACAACTCACGGTAGCCGAGCGCCTGGAACGACAAATCATCGTCGGCGACTGCCAGCTCTACATCGCGATGCTAACGTTCATCAAACAGGAGCTCTCGGCGTACGTGAAAGGCGGGTGGGTGCTGAGGAAAGCATGGAAAATCTACAACCGCGTTTACCGCGAGGTGACGGACTTGATCGCGTACTGCGAGTGGAGGACGGGACAGAAGGTGGACGGGTCGCAGTCCAGCCTGGACAGCCTGACGGACGGGGAACAGGACTCCGCACCGCGCCACATCCCCAGCAAATCACAGTCCAGCTACGAGATTTCCCGCGAGGCGGCGAAAAGCTCGGTGACGACCAGCGCGTCCTGCGAGAACATTCCCAGCAAGAACAAAGCAGCCTGGGCCGGCGTCTCCAAAAGTAAATCTGTTGCCATGGCGATGGCCACAAGCACGGAGGACTTACCGTCCATGGAAACGCTCGGGAGGCTGCTGGGCGCGGTGAGTTTCGGTTACGGACTGTTCCAGCTGACGATATCCATGATTCCGCCGTCGCTGCTGAAGATCGTGAACATGCTGGGTTTCCGTGTGGAGCGCGACATCGGACTGAAGTGTCTGAAGACAGCCAGCAAAAGTCAGGACATGAAAGCACCACTGGCTACGTAAGGGTTACTTACATCCTCTAATAGTTCTTGCTAAATTTTTGTATGACAGTGAGTGGCAGAATTCTGCCAAATGACAGAAAGACCGGTATAGCCCTAACCCTAAACCCTTAGGCGTAGGAAAAAAAAATGTTGTTTTCTGACTGACACTTGATAAAACTGCCAACCCTAGCCTTTTTTTTGGTGGACTCCTGCAAGAGACATAAAGCTCCATGATCTAACACCTGAGTAATGAAGCGTTGTACAATTGGTTTTGCAGTTTATGTGTGCTTATGCAAGTTTTACTTTACTGTAAAATATTGTATAAGTTGAGGGTGATTTATTCTTTTTTCCAGGTTGTCATTGCTCTGGTACCATCTGGTTGCTACACCCTTTTTTGCCCTGGGAAGTGGCAGTGCAGAGCAAGGTATACGTATGTTTGACTTCAAGAATAGAAAAAATAAAAAGATTTTGAATTCAATAAACCTTCTACTCAGTTTTTTAGCCAGGCGAAAATCTTTTTCTGTTATCTCAAATTATTATTACTCGACGTGCCATGATCCTGTAAGGGGGGGGGGGTCGTCTCCCGGATAAATGTTTAAATCTTTACCCTCTGAAGTGAAAGATATTTCTTGCATTTTGAGAGGTAAATTTTGCTGGTAGACTAAGCTTAGTTTGATAACATCTCCAATATTTTTCTGTCAAAGATGACAGATTGGGCAAATTTTTTTTCTGTCATGAGCAACAAAATTCTGTCAAATGATGAAAAGATGGTGGCTGACTAGATCACAAATATCGCATCTAAATTCTTCGATATACTTTTTGATTGAAAGAAGTTGAATAGACTTCTGTTCATCATATTCTGCCTTTCAAAGAGAAAAGTGAATTATAGTCATACCAAATTGAATGTAGCATTGTTAGTAATGTTACCTGTTTGTTACTTTCTGTATTAAAGGTGTGAGATTCAAAATGTAATCTTGTTGTGATTATAGGTCTCTGTGAAGCAGAGAAGATCCTTCGTGAGAATGAAGCCACCTACCCAACATCTGCCCTGTTTCTGTTCTTCAAGGGGAGACTTCTCAGGCTTAGGGTCAGTCTTTAAACATGTGGTAATCCTACTGAACAATTGGGGAACAACAATGTACTATAATCATAGGGTATTGGTGTTCTCTTGTATACCATGTACATAATTATAACCTGATTTCCTCTCTAATTGTAGCTTTGGGTAGCTACATGTACAATAACCATGTTGTGTTTGCTGTTTCCCAATCGATCGTAGAAAAAACTGCAGACCCCAGCCTTTTTTTGGTGGACCCCTTCAATAATTTTTTTAACCTTTTATAGTTCCATAATCTGACACCTGAGTGATGAAACATTGTAAAATCAGTTTTCCAACATTGACATTAAAAGTGTCCTCGTGCAAGTTTTACTTAAAAGTTCAACTGTATTGTATGTTAGTTTATAAGCCAAAGTCTAGGAAAAAAGAAAGAAAGAAAAGATAATCCCTACCTACCCATTTCAGGACTGAAATGGGAAACTCAACATTTTTTTCATTCCTACAAATGTAGGCCCTAGTTCTAACAATACTGTTACAGTATATGATTGTGTATCTGTTTAGTGTCAGAATGAAGAGTCCCTGGCTGTGTATAACCAGGCCCTGGAGGCCTGTAAGGACCAAAGAGAGATCCAACTGCTCTGTGTTTATGAGATCAGTAAGTAGCGATTATGGTTTTGTTTGTTTGTTTGTTTCGCATAACCGGTAAACCGCCTTTAGGCGTAACACACTTCTTGTACATGTACGTACATGTACAAGCTGCGTATGTAATACCGGACTGTAAGGTTTGAACCACTCACACCGGGAAGGTCCCCTACTCTTTTCGATAAGTGGGTCTCCCCATTCGAAGCTAGGTACTCATTTCCACCTGGGTGAAGTGCCTTTCCCAAGGGCACAAGATCGGTGACATGGGCAGGATTCGAACTTGTGACCTCTTGGGTGTGAGCCGAACACGCTACCGACTGCGTCACACGACCCCCAAATGTGGTGATGTGCTAATACTAATAGATCCAATATTCAGGTGAATATTCTAAAACCATATATCATGTATCATGTTTTTTGAAAGTGGTCAGTGGATTTTCCTTTGTTTTGTTGTAATTTGTCATGACAAGACTGTTGATTGACTTGTTACTGTTATTTTCTTTTTTTTTCTTTTTAGGTTGGTCCCAACTTCTGAAGCTGAACTTTGCAGAAGCACTCAGTGGATTTCAGAGGTTTGTTTTATACCATACTTGTTTTTCACAGCATTATCATGGCCCAGATATGACATAAAATGGGTAACAAAGTTAACATGAGTTCTTTTCTTTGTCCATGTAGGTTAAAGGAGGAGTCCAGATGGTCTCAGTGCTACTATGCTTACCTCTCAGCAAGTAAGAAGCGATTTTTGGTATTGTTATCATTTGTTTATTGTATATTGTTGGTTGGAGAATATTTGTAGTAATCTGCCTTGAGGTGCAGAACTGATTTTGTCTGTGTTTAACACCTACAGTCTGCTATGGTGCCCAGGGAAAGATCACTGAGTCCAGAGACATGTTCAAACAAGTGCCCAAGTTTGCTCAGAAGAAGAGAAACCCTTTGGAACTCTACACTGTCAGAAAGGTAAAAAAATTAAAATCTCAACCAATCAGGATGCTTCTTTCATTTCTGTGAATTAAAAGAATTGAGCGTGACATGTAACATGTGTTCTGATAGGCCGATTAGTTCTTGAAGGCTGGTAAGGAGAAAAAGACCAATGATGTACAATGTATGTGTTGTGCTCACCAATCAGCATGCTTCTTACATAATTTGTTAATAATAATTGACCATTGTAACGTGTGTTCTGATAGGCCCAGAAGTTCCTGAAGGCTTTTAAGGAGAACCAGACCAATGATGTATGTGTTGTGCTCACCAATCAGCATGTTTCTTACATGTTTGGTAATTAATAATTTACCAGTGACAGTATGTAACATGTGTTCTGATAGGCCCAGCAGTTTCTGAAGGCTGGTAAGAAGAACCAGACCAGGGAGTATGTGATGTTGCTGGCCCTGGAGGTCCTGTATCTGTGGAGAGCCCTCCCCACCTGTGACACAGACGACCTTCAGAAAATGCTTCAAGGTCAAGATGTTATTTTTAAACACTATAAAAAGCTGCATGACGGGTTTATGCTTTTGTTATCTGTGTTCTTTTACAGTTATGTGGTAGGTTTCTACCAGTGAGATACACGTAAGATAATGAAAGTTCATTATATACCCTGTGAGTACATGGACTGGTGCAGGTTAGGTACATATCAGAATAGCTCCAATATTACCAGTCCTATACTAACCTGAATATACCTAGTACATGGCCCAGTGCAGGTTAGGTGCAGGTAGACATCAGAAATACCTGCACAGCTCCAATTTTACCTGCACTAACCTGCATATACCCAGTACATGGACCAGTGCAGGTTAGGTGCAGGTAGACATCAGAAATACCTGCACAGCTCCAATTTTACCTGCACTAACCTGCATATACCCAGTACATGGACCATTGCAGGTTAGGTGCAGGTAGACATCAGAAATACCTGCACAGCTCCAATTTTACTTGCACTAACCTGCATATACTTGGTATTTCTAACCTTGAATTATTGTTATTAAAGCTAGTATATCTGTAGACCATGCTAATAGAAAGTTAACTTTGTTTTACTGTTGCAGAATGTGGTAAGGTGACAGATCAGAGTCTGATCTCCATGGGATTCCTGATCGAGGGATCCATCCACAGTATACTTGGGAACAGAGATGAGGCCATGACTGTACGTATACATTTGTACACACAGTGTATTAGGCCACAGTAAGTAAATTTTATGGATGACATCCTCCACAGACTCCAAATCTAATGTGAGCGGGTGAAAAAAACAAGGTGGGCCGAAAAAAAACAAGATCCCTACATTTTCAAATTTTGATGCAATCATTAATAATGGTTTTGATTCAGTGGGAACATTACATATACACAGCCGCCATCTTATATACATTAAGTATTATCACTGCATGAAAGTAAAAAACAAAACATTAAATAAGAGCCTTTTCTTGTCTCCTCTCTTCATAGTTATCTGCTATCCACCTTCTGGCATGGCAACAGACATCTTTGCCCATTTTTGGCATGTTGACCACTGTCAGAGGGCAACAAATTTTTTTTTTTCAAAACCGGGTGAAAATGAATGCGCGCGCTGATGTCATCCATAAAAAAATTACTCGCTGTGGCCTTAGGTTCAACTACATGTACTGGTTCTGGGACATTTTAATTGCTTAGAATACATGTTACAATGTTTTACAATGAATAAAAGTAATGATTTAATTGTGCTTTGGACAATACTTCAATTCTTAAGATACATGTACATTGTTCTAATATTTCAAAATAAGTTGAAGCAAAATAAGTCATTTCTTGAAACAAAATGTACAGTCATGTACATTTATTTTAGTTATTGTGCATACATTGTATTTTCAATATATCATAAGCAAACATTTGTGTGCTTGTTGCACATCCCTATAGAGGAAAAGTAAACCTTGTTATTGATACATGACTTGTTGTTAATATTCCAGTGTTTTGAAGCTGCCCTTGCCAAGTCTTCCAGTCCACATCAGGAACAACATGTGGCACCTTTTGCCTGTTATGAGTTAGGAGTGCTGTATCTGGAGAAGGCAGAGGTAAAGTCTTGTACACATAAAACATGTTGTAAAAATCTGTGATAAATCATTTGATTATCCTACACTCTAGATACAGAATCTGAGGCCTCATAAACATAGAAGTAAACTAATACTTTTGACTCAAATGTTTTTCTTTTAGTTAATACTAACTAATGTACATGTTTAAAGTTAAAACTTTTGTTCCAACACAAAAGATTCTCTCACCTAGAGCTTTCGACCAGTCACTCTGGTCTTCCTCAGTAGACTGACCCAGTGAAGCTTGTCACGTGGCTTCTTTGAAGTGTGACGTCAACACTGGGTCAAAGGTATCTGGTAGACGATGTCGACCCCTGTCGCGGTTGTGTTGGAACAAAAGTTTTAACTTTAAACATGTAACTACCAACACAGATGAACTTTCATTATAACTAAATGTACATGTATGTATTTACTAGTTGACATGTGTACAATGTATGTACTACATTGTATATTTGTAGCATGGTATTTATTATCTAATCAAAGCTGTGTATTAAAAGACCAAATTGCTGACACAAACCATATTTTGATGTTACATTTCAGACTCATGACCAAGGAAAGGCCTTGCTAATTAAAGCAAAGGTGAGTAAATAAATATATTGCACCTTGTACAATATATCACATGTATCAGCCATCCTTTTCTCATCCAGAAATACCTCTTGTTTTGAAACCCTGAAATTGCATTGGATGCTATGAAGTTTAACATCAAACTAGTAACATTTGCAAAGCAAATGTATAATGCTTACCTTCAGACATGGTCTGCTCTGTTAATTTTTACTCAAACACATTCACATACATGTACTATTAGTATATGGTCACAGGAGCACAGCAGACCATGAAATTGCAACATTATGTAACCCCACACCAGGTGACAGACGTCAACAAATCAGGTCATTGGCCAGGTCAGAGGTTAGTGTTTGGAGAAGAAGAGGAAACTGAGCAAAAACAATATGTTTTCCTTCAGTAAACATAATTATATACACTGTATGATCATGTTACTTTTGAAAATGGCTCAAATGTTTCCTTGTCACAGGATGGTTACAAGGACTATGATTTTGAGAACCGCCTGCGAATCCGTGTCCACGCGGTCCTGCGTCACATGAAGGACGTTCCCGTGGAACAACCAGAACCAGAGGAGTACAAGGAGGTGGAGGATGAGGACTGAAACTACAGAGCACAGTACCAACTTGTTTTCTTGCCAGTTCTGTTCGGTTCAGTTTGTTCTTCCTACTAGTAATGGACCTATACCATTATTACGTCACAGTTTGTTTACCTGTTGTAAAGAACATTCTAGAACGGTCAGTTAAAGAATAAAGATCATTTCAAAGTTTTCAAAGTAAGGTATATCTTATTTTGCTGCGTCTAGTTGTGTTGACACAGCATTACATGCCGCATGGGTGATTTAGTTGTGACATTAGACGAAAGTAGTGCTGTATTAAAAGCTTTATATTAGACTAACGCTAACGTTACACAAACACGCACCGCGCTACACATCCCTGTACAATATAAACATCTATTGACCGGCATTCATTGCGGTAAACAAACTGTGATGTAATAATGGTATAGGTCCATTCTGTAACGGTAAACGGCTACTGGAAAAGGGTCTTGGGCTGATTTTTGTGTACGAAAATAAAACTCACCTAGGGGCTTGTTTTCTGCAGATTTGTATGCCCAAAATATGAAATACTCAGAAACAAATGTACTAATATGGGGCAATATATGTTAATATTAACAGACTGCCTTATTCAGTATATTCCAGTTTTGCCACCTTGAAATTGCATTGGATGCCTAATAAGTCTTCTTAATGCAATTTTAAGAAAGGTTCAACCTAGGATATTTTTTCCTGATAAATTTTCGGATAGTGACTTGTTTCAACTATTAAGTGAGTAGAATATTGACTGAAGAATCAAGCTGTCAAAATGACATTAGGCATCTTTAAAATGCTGTAATGTGTAAATGTCACCAATGGTTCAAATTGAGTGAGCAGGCAACATCTATCAGCAAGGGGCAAAAGTGACTGACCAAAAGGTATTGTAATTACCTGTTTTAGAATAGTTTGTTCCAACCTTACCATGAGTTTTAAATGCGAAATGGAATGTACCATTCTATTGCAGGGGGTTGGCATTAAAATGGCAGTCATAGTTGAAGTTGCTCATTATAAAAGTAAGCATGGTAGGTATGTATGTTACTTGAATACTATGTGACTCTGTCACTCACTACAACAAAGGAGACAAAAACCTTTGAAACCATCAGTGTTATTTACATTGTAAAGCTAGAGATTAAAACCAGAAAGTAATTTCCTGTAAAAATTTGCTAATTAAAGATTAAAGTTAGGTATTGACCATAATTTGATGTAAGATATTTTGAACTGTTATGTGTAATAGAATCTTTAATCAAAATATATATTATTCATTACACCAGCTGAAATTTTAGGCCTTTCCAATTTGGGTGTCGAAAAAAAGTTGCTCTTAAAACAGTGTAGGAATCATAGAGTCTGGCATATATGTATTTGGCAATACTATGAGGCCATACTATTATGGGATAGGCTGTATGACAAAACTATCAAAGGAGAGACATTTTCTAATTCTTTTTGTAAATCAGTTACCTCAAAGCAATCTAAACTTATCAAAGATTCTACGCTTAAATTTATGTAGATAGAAAAACATAATTTGAAATCTGTCTTGTACAGTATGTTGATTATCAGCCTTGTGCATAAAGATTAAAAAACAAAAATTTATTGTTAGAAAATCTTTGTTAGTATAAATTTGAGGTTGCAAATGTAAGGTAAGCTAGAGACTATGCAGAAAGCAATCAACTTAAAAGCATATCATTAGATTTCTTGGCAGCAACAAAAAAGGGAAATTTGTAGAAATTTAAATCATAACTTCTCAACAGAGTATTCTAATGCAGATTTGTAATTCAGAGTGTAGATAAGTTAGTTGTATTGACACTTTGCAGTAGAAATATCTGAAGATATTTTAATATTATCTGCTGTAATTTTATGAATCTTGCCCTTCTGATAGCATTAAAGTATTGTTGTCTTTCAAGATGTTTGAAGCTTTGTAAAATTTTGTAGTTGAGAAGTGCTATACTTCTGGTCTAGTACCATAAAATGATGTAGTCATACAGTCACTGTAAATGATATTAACACTGTGTACTTAACTATTTGAAAAGCATAAAGCACAGGAAAACACACAGAAAAATGTTGTTACAGTTACAGTTCTTTTTTTCTTTGTTTTGTTTTGCCTTTAGATTCGTTAGGTAACATGATAAAACATTTTTCATAGTAAAATTGTCTTCTTGATTCAACCTATTATTGCTCCAAAATTAAATAGATCAGCTGTTCTTCCAATACATGTGATGTCCAGCTACTAACTAAAGGAAAATATTGGTATCGTCATGATAGTGTGGTGTAAATTGCTGCTTCTTGTTAATAAATGTGTGATTTAGAAGGTATTTTGTCAATATTTTTTTAACTTGCAAACTGCCATAATTATTATTCATTGCATGATGATATCATTGCTGTAATATTAAGTAGGTACATGTAGAAACCTATGGCTCTTGTATCAACTGTTTTTGAACTTTAATTCCATACTATTTTAATGAAACAAGATTTAGAAGAATATCAATCATATCTACAACCTTTGTTCTGAGATAATGTCAATCCTAAACTTTTATGACAAAGCTAAGGCCATGTTAATTTGATTATATGGATGACATCCTCTGGGAACCCCAAAACTGATGCGAGCGTGCGAATAAAAAAAAGTTTGGCAAAAAAAGTTGATTTCATTATGAAACCTAGTACGTAGTCATGAAGGTTGAACAAATGACAGTACATTGTATAGTATGGCAAATAATCTACTCTTCAAATTCATTTCTTTACATTTTCGTCTTTCTTGTTTGATTTTGGCATTCTACAATATTGATATCGTTTTCCAATATTTTTTTGCAACTTACGATATATATTTGCTAATTTTGCAACTGCTTTGTACGATTTACAGTATGGTTGAAAACTTCATTTTTTTGGAAATGGCCAAAAATTCGTTCACGCACGGATGTCATCCATACAATCAAATCAACATGGCCTAATTGCAATTTTTAGCTACTTTTCTTTGCAGTGAAGAACAGCATGCCCTTGACATCAGTGACCTTGAACTCTGACCTTTCCGGTGAAGGGTAGTACACCGTCTGTATGTCTGAGAAGCCTGCTTCTTTGAAGGTCTGGACAACAAAATCCACTTCCACTGGAAGAAGCTTGGCTTTTGCACCACCTTCAGAATATAGAAAATACTTTGAAATAAATACTATCATCATCATCATTCATCCTCCGTAGAGGTGGAGCATACAAAGTTAGTTCGCCACAACTGTCTGTCATACATCACTGAGAAAAGTTCATGTCCCTCCAAGCCAGTTTCAGTTTCAATAAGTTTCTTAACTGTTATGTTTGGGCGTCCAACTCTTCTCTTACAGGTATCAGGGTTCCAGAGTAGAAGCCTACTGGCTGGTTCTTCACTACGTATTACATGACCGACCAAGCTTAGTCGTCGACATTTGACTACTGAAGTTACATTTGGTAGCGAACCGTATAACTGTTCATTAGTAGTGTGTTTCCACCATGGTGTATTGAAAACCACTCGCAACATCTTCGTGTATGTTCCGTTTAGTTTTCTAGAATGTGACATATTCATGACATAAATACTATATTGATTTAAAAGTATTGATATCAAGGCCTAGGAAAAAAGATGTTGAGAAGAATCTTGAAAGTAAGATGGCAAGATCACATCACAAACGAGGAGATTCTCAGAAGAGCGAAGATCCAACCCTTGGGGGACATTATAACAGACAAGAGGATGCAACAGGCAGGCCACATCCTACGCCTATCAAGTCAGCACCACTCAAAGACGGCCATGACCTGGGTGCCACCAGGGGGCAGAAGGAAGGAAGAAGGGCCAAAGAACACCTGGCGAAGAACCTTTCAGAACCTCAAGAAGGCCAACATTGCCTGGGAAGAGGCTGAGGAGGCTGCAGCTACTCGGCCCAGATGGAAACTTGCTGCCCAATGTGCCTGTAGGCACAGGAGGACCTAAGGTCTAAGGTAAGGATCTCTAGTGATCCAACTTATACAATACTGTTTAACAAAGTAAAACATGCATGAGGGCACTTACATTTTCAATGTCAGTGTTGGAAAACCGATAGTACAATGTTTCATCACTCAGGAGAAGAGAGGCACTCACAGAAGAAGAGAGGCACGTCTGACTACAATGTTCAAAATAACTCACGGTCACATGCGCATACCCTCTGAACAATATCTTATTCCTGCACAGCGGCGCACCAGAGGTAGCCACGCCTTTAAATACAATATTATCCCTGCAACGAAAGACTGTTTCAAATTCTCATTTTTCCCACGCTCGATACGAGAGTGGAACAGTTTACCTGTCCCGGCCATACAGGCACAATCTGTGGAGGCCTTTCGGGCCTCTCTACCGTAAGGTCCACGCACCTCCTCCCCCCCCCCCC